AATCAAAGCATGTTTCATAGGAGAGTATTCAATGTATGTGCTTTCAACCAGAGGCAATAAAAGCAGAAGGAGCGGATTAAGTGCAAAAACACCACAGTAAATATCGTCACAGGGAGAGGCAGGAGCCAAAGAGCCAAACTCATAGAAGAGCCAAACTCATAGAAGAGCCAAACACAGAAGGGCCAAAGGGATAGCATTCTCGCTTCTCAGCAAGAAGGTCCTGGGTTTAATCCCAGTTGGAACGGGGTCTTTCTGAGTGGAGTTTACCAAACATAGAAGAGCCAAACACAGAAGAGCCAAACATAGAAGAGCCAAACACATATAAGAGCCAAACACAGAGCCAAACACAGAAGAGCCAAACACATATAAGAGCCAAACATAGAAGAGCCAAACATAGAAGAGCCAAACATAGAAGAGCCAAACATAAAAGAGCCAAACATGGAAGAGCCAAATAAAAAAGAGCCAAACATAGAAGAGCCAAACACAGAAGAGCCACATTGGAAGAGCCAAACATAGAAGAGCCAAACACATATAAGAGCCGAACATGGAAGAGCCAAACACATTAAAGAGCCAAACATGGAAGAGCCAAATAAAAAAGAGCCAAACATAGAAGAGCCAAACACAGAAGAGCCAAACAAAAAAGAGCCAAACATAGAAGAGCCAAACACAGAAGAGTCAAACATGGAAGAGCCAAACATAGAAGAGCCAAACACATATAAGAGCCGAACTTGGAAGAGCCAAACACATTAAAGAGCCAAACACAGAAGAGCCAAACATGGAAGAGCCAAATAAAAACGAGCCAAACATATAAGTGCCAAACACGGAAGAGCCAAACACAGAGCCAAACACAGAGCCAAAGATAGAAGAGCCAAACATACTGTAGAAGAGCCAAACACATAGAAGAGCCAAACACAGAAGAGCCAAACACATTAAAGAACCAAACACAGAAGAGCCAAACACGGAAGAGCCAAATAAAAAAGAGCCAAACATATAAGTGCCTAACACAGAAGAGCCAAACATAGAAGAGCCAAACATAGAGGAGCCAAACACACAGAAGAGCCAAACACAGAACACAGAAGAGCCAAACGTAGAAGAGCCAGACATAGAAGAGCCAAACATAGAAGAGCCAAACACAGAACAGAGAAGAACCAAACATAGAAGAGCCAAAGATAGAAGAGCCAAACATAGAAGAGCCAAACACAGAACACAGAAGAGCCAAACGTAGAAGAGCCAGACATAGAAGAGCCAAACGGATCCAAACATACAGGAGCTCACAGAGACTACGCTACAATGGAAACAGGGACTTTTGATTCGATTTGATATTATTCCAAACGATACGGTTTGGTAAACAAAGCCCCGGGTTTGTTATCGAACACTCTGCCACATGTGTTTGATAAAGGCGGACAGAGCACTCTGCAGACAGAACACTCGATATTTATTTCCATCAGAAAAAAAAAATAGAAATACACACAACACTTTTTCTGAGACCAGGGACACGGAAAATTAGTATCATATAATTGGAAAACAGAATGTCCATGTGCCGAGCTCAGATGTTTGATGCCAGGGGAAATACACACATTCAGCAGCTTTTTCCTACGCTCTCTGAATAATGTGATGTGTGGTCCATAGAGCACTTTTATACTTCAGTTTAATGGACGTTTGGAATATAGTAATAATAATAGCAATGCATCAGTTCATACAACACAGTAGTGATAGACTACTATCAGCCCCTCCCATCACCACCACCATTCACACACAGTGTCTTGCCTATGGACACAACCACAGCTTGGCACTTTACAGCCGCAGCCGCCCCACTGTGGCACCTGGTGTTCCCATAGGTCTCCCATCACAGTACTTCAGAGGTTTGACAGGATCTGGCGTTCAGAGGGGCGACAGTAGCTCAGTTGGTAGAGCATTGGCCTTCAGGCCTGAAGGTCGTGGGTTCAATTCCCACCTCTACACCTTCTCCACCGACTCCCACTGATGACTGCTGTCGTTGTGTCCTTGGGCAAGACACTTAACCCCACTTTGCCCAAAGCCCCCACTGAAAGATCAAGGCTATGCTCACACTCAGAGAGCAGCCGTCCTCCTGTGGACTCACCACCTGCAGAGGATCAGTGAGGGGCTGGTGCTATGAGACTTGGGTGGCATCTCTGACTGCCACCCCCCTGACCCAGAAATGGATTAAAGGGTAGAAAATGGATGGATGGATGGATGGCGTTCATGTACAGTATATCTCCACTTTTAGATGATGTGAAAGAAAAAGTCATATTCATTAATAAGTGCACGTCACAGACCATTTCACTTTTCATCATCGTGAACTACTGTGTTCAATAATACATGTGTTTTCTCCTTGGTTATATTATTGTATGTTATGTGTGTATTAAAACACATTTCTGATTTAAATACTGCACAAATGCTCCATAAATACCTGCGACCATGTCGTTTTCCGTCTCGTAACTCCGCTCACACTTTTTACTACATCAACTTAAAAAAGATCTATGGCCGCAGAACGGAGTTAAACACTAAACGAAAGTCCGATCATTAAACTTTGGAAAAGCGGGACAGTCACTGATTCAATTATTTATGAGCCTAATGAATCTCTCCAGGAGGAGCTCATTCCGCAGGCACTGGGGCGATGGGCAGTGCCTCCAGACTCTGGCATCAATCTCCTGCAGTCTGAGAAACTGTGAGAGCGGAGACTCGAGCACCTGCGACACATCGCCACAAAACTTCACAGCCGTAAATTAATTGAAAACTCGGACGTAATAAGGTCAATGAAACAAAAACAAACAGCGTTAAAACCAGCGAAGATGAAAGACGAGGGCGAGTCAGAGGAAGGCGACGTGGACACGATCAAGTTAGAGTCCCACGAGTGCCTGGTTTTGGCTGATTCTTTGATTTCGTTGAATTATAAATGTAAATTACTAAACATAAGGAGGCAGCGTTTTGGATTCATGCAGCTAAAATCTGGAACACTCTTCCTGAAAATGTGATACATACTCTGACAATGTTCGAATCCAGGTTATTGGTTCCATCTTGTTTTGTTCAGCACTTTGAGTTGCCTTGTGTATGAACACGTCTGATCCAGGCTTCTACCACTATTTCGAGGTCGCAACTCAAACGTTAAAGCTAACTGACTTGAATGAAAACATAACAAAAGTTTCCTTAATTTGCGTGGTAGAACTAAGCAAGAAGGTCCTGGATTCGATTTTTGCATGTTCTTCCCGTGTTGGCGTAGGTTTCCTCCGGATAATCTGCTTTCCCCTACGATTAAAAACATGCTTGGTAAATCTGGTCCTGACCAAACCGAGCATCAACATCTGGAGATTGTTCCTAGGTGCTGTACTACGGCGACCACTGCTCCTGACAGACGCCCCAGTGGCATCAGGATGGGTCGAATGCAGAAGATAAATAAACTGTACCTTTACCTTTACCTTAGAAGAAGAAGATAATCCTTTATTCGTCCCACAGTGGGGAAATTTCAGTTTTGATGAATACACATATATATAGACATCAAGGCATGCAGCGAACAATTACTTACGTGCTCCTTATGGGAAAAGTGGGTCGAAGTGTCTTGCCCAAGGACACATCAACAGCAGACATCAGAGAAGGTCTTGCAGGGGCCTCAAACTCACAATATTCCGGCCAAAATACCACTGCTCTACCGACAGAGCCTGGTAAAAAGCAATAACAAACGCAGTGATTGAGAAGCCTACATTAGCCGATCCTAAAACATAATACATTATGTCAATAGTTGCATTCTTTCTGTTTTGCTAACTGCGGCTGTTGTCAAATTGCTCCGATCCCCTCATAACCTGCATCCAAAAGTTGCAATAAAGTGTGTTGTACTGGGTCTGCGGCGTTTGTCTCGAGTCTTCGCCCACATGCTCTGTATTTGAACGCCGTGTGTTTGAGTGATTGTGGCCAAAGGGTGATCCGCTCCTGTCAGTCCACTGCTCGCTGAGGGCGGACTCCAGAAGTCAGAGTATCATCTCTCCAATGACGGAGGCTAAATCAATAACACCACTCGCCGGGAAAAGTATTTATTATTTAATATAAAACAGACTTGTTCATATTTCTCTTCATTTCCCATTATAACAGTACAGTTTTTCACCCTAAGCAATTTAGATTTTTAGTGTACTGCACACTTTTGCATATTTATTCCAGTGGGGTTTTACTGCAGATGGTAAATAACCTATATTATCACCAATATTAATTCCTTGTATTATTAGTAATGCAAAACTGTGAATGGTATTTTTGCTGCTGATCAAAGAGATTAATTATATGACAGATGAGGAAGTCTAGTAAAGCTCTCAAATGTTGCTGCTGCGAACATATTGTTTTATTTATTCGCTGTTAGCTTCCATTACTCATTCACCTTCATCTGTTTTGACAATAAACCAATGTCCTGTAGCGACTGAAACTTGATGGAGTCGAAATAATAAGCTGCATCACTGTATCCAAGCCGCAGGGATTATAGAATTTAAATTCACAAAATCTTTGACTCTTTGGGCAGAGAGCTGAGTAACAGTGGTCCGTGTTATCCATCGATCCTCTCTTTTTCACTTTTCTGTCTGAAAAAGCTGATATAAAGAAGCCTAAAAATGTATGTATGATAAAACCAGTGATAGAACGAGACCGTGTTTAGAGTGTGGAACTCGCAAGATGGACTTTTATGACTTGGTTCCATTTCTTTTGGTTTGAAAGAGAGGTTTAAGTCTCTCCAACAGAACACAACAGTAGTTTTCACGACAAAATCGAGATTCAAACCACAGGCTTTATCTCAGAAGTTTTAAAAAGATTCTACTTTTTAAAGCTGTGAAAATTGGGAACTTCTTTGCTACAAAATGTAATTCTGACAATAACAGTTATCTGTGCTTTGAAACTGACTTCAAAGACAACACCTTTGCTCCACAATCAAATCCCTGGTGTTACTTTCAGCCTCTCTGTACAATTCCTTCTTCATAAAAACACTAACAGTAATATTTTCTTTCTAGGTTGTTGAAGGACTGCTGCATTATGAGCGCTCGAGACGAGACGGAGAGATGTGAGGAGAGCGTCCAAGGACAAGAGCAGCTGTTGTTAAAGATGGACCATTGTAAACTATTGGATCCCACTTTATTCCACTAACATCCAATTAGAGACTGAGATGGCGGCTTGGATTGTACTCTTCCTCTTCCTGTTCGTCTGTGAAGGAGACACTGGAGGTTTTTCATCTGCTGTCAACTCGTCGCCGCCTTACGGTGATTTGCAGCGATTATCAAACAGCCTTAAGTTCACGGTCGGAGGAAGAAAACTCCGGCTGGAAGAAGACAAATCAGCAGTCCATTTGTTTGTGCAGAGGCCTGACAGGAAGCTAAACGAAAACAGCGTCAAGAGCGAACTGGCGAGACAAAGTGACACGTTTAAGGAGACTTCGGAGACTGGCAAAACAGCAAATGAAAACAGCAAAGCAAATAAAAGCGTGGATGGATCGGTGGATAGTTTGGTGCAGACTTCAGGGGGTGAATATTGGGAATCTGGAGTTCGCTTTGAGCCGGAGAAGAGGCTTCATTCCAGACGTAAGCGGAGCTGGCTGTGGAACCAGTTCTTCGTGATAGAGGAGTACAGAGGGCCGGAGCCGGTGCTGATCGGACGGGTGAGTTGGCAAACAAAGTCCCACTTTCAAACTCCAAGTTACGCAACAATGTTTTACACTTGAAGATACATGTCACAACAGATAAATGCCAGGGTCCCATGCCAGTTCAGTCACCACGCTCGCACATTTGCATTGTCCTATTTCTGCATGCAAAAAAGTCTGACTCACGCAGCGGACGCGAGGCAGAGTCTGATGTGGGGGGAGTAAAGAGCGAGTTAAATGTTGTTTTTCCCATAAGGTCCATGTGCTCTGAGCCGGATAATTGTACAACACATCACCACTTTCAACAATTCAATTTCAATGTATTTGTGTCTTGCCCTAATTCACAGCAGCAGCCGTGCGGGGACTTTGCACAGTTGTCGATTCTCCATCAACAGATCAGAGACAGTTCAAACTGAGGGAATGTGACAATTCCAAATACACAGAAGCCATTGGTCCAGAGGGAGCGGATCGAAATGTTAATATTAAAAAAATGTGGCATTTAACAGAGAATATATCAAACACAATGTATCATTCATATCCATCAACACTAACACCAATTTCTTTCCTGTTCTATTTCTTGTGTTTGAACTGTTTGATTTTCTGATCTGCGTTGGAGAATTCCACGGTTTTGAAGAGCCTCACCTGCCATCACTGAATAAAAATATTATTTCAGTTGTAATATATAATTGTTTTCCACTGTCCTTAGATTTTAATACATTTTGGGCACGGTTCCAACCAGTTTTGATAATTTTTGGAGTCAAAATCGCTGAAATCCTATTTTTCCCATTCAAAGAGACGAGGTGAGGCAGCGCTCATACGTGCCTCACCCCAGATCGCTCGATTTTTTTTATCAACTGCACTTTCAACCAAAGCAAGAAATAATATTGACTGAGAGACCACTGCTGGACTTACGAGGTTAGTCCGGCCGCGGGGGGGATCTGTCAATCTCTGTGTTTTATGTTGGAAATTGACCAGAGAGCTGCATAAAAGTGCTTCTCCGAAAAACACCAATTCAAACACTGCTCAAGAGTTCTGCAACTTGTTTAAATTCTTGTTCATGTTCCTCACGTCTCTCCCTTTCTCTCCCTCCTCGCTTCTCTCTCCGTCCTCTCGTCTCCCTCCCTCCTCCCGTCTCTCTCCCTCCTCACGTCTCTCTCCCTCCTCCCGTCTCTCTCCCTCCTCCCGTCTCTCTCCCTCCTCGCGTCTCTCTCCCTCCTCGCATCTCTCTCCCTCCTCCCGTCTCTCTCCATCCTCTCGTCTCTCTCCATCCTCTCGTCTCTCTCCCTCCTCCCGTCTCTCTCCCTCTTCTCGTCTCTCTCCCTCCTCGCGTCTCTCTCCCTCCTCGCATCTCTCTCCATCCTCCCGTCTCTCTCCCTCCTCTCGTCTCTCTCCATCCTCTCGTCTCTCTCCCTCCTCCCGTCTCTCTCCATCCTCTCGTCTCTCTCCCTCCTCCCGTCTCTCTCCCTCCTCGCATCTCTCTCCCTCCTCGCATCTCTCTCCCTCCTCGCATCTCTCTCCCTCCTCGCATCTCTCTCCCTCCTCTCGTCTCTCTCCCTCCTCCCGTCTCTCTCCCTCCTCCCGTCTCTCTCCCTCCTCACGTCTCTCTCCCTCCTCGCGTCTCTCTCCCTCCTCACGTCTCTCTCCCTCCTCACGTCTCTCTCCCTCCTCTCGTCTCTCTCCCTCCTCGCATCTCTCTCCCTCCTCGCATCTCTCTCCCTCCTCGCGTCTCTCTCCCTCCTCCCGTCTCTCTCCCTCCTCCCGTCTCTCTCCCTCCTCGCGTCTCTCTCCCTCCTCCCGTCTCTCTCCTTCCTCCCGTCTCTCTCCCTCCTCGCATCTCTCTCCCTCCTCGCATCTCTCTCCCTCCTCGCATCTCTCTCCCTCCTCACGTCTCTCTCCCTCCTCCCGTCTCTCTCCCTCCTCTCGTCTCTCTCCCTCCTCCCGTCTCCCTCCCTCCTCTCGTCTCCCTCCCTCCTCCCGTCTCTCTCCCTCCTCCCGTCTCCCTCCCTCCCTCGTCTCCCTCCCTCCTCCCGTCTCTCTCCCTCCTCCCGTCTCTCTCCCTCCTCGCATCTCTCTCCCTCCTCCCGTCTCTCTCCATCCTCTCGTCTCTCTCCCTCCTCCCGTCTCTCTCCATCCTCTCGTCTCTCTCCCTCCTCACGTCTCTCTCCCTCCTCGCGTCTCTCTCCCTCCTCGCGTCTTTCTCCCTCCTCACGTCTCTCTCCCTCCTCCCGTCTCTCTCCCTCCTCTCGTCTCTCTCCCTCCTCGCATCTCTCTCCCTCCTCGCGTCTCTCTCCCTCCTCCCGTCTCTCTCCCTCCTCACGTCTCTCTCCCTCCTCCCGTCTCTCTCCCTCCTCGCATCTCTCTCCCTCCTCCCGTCTCTCTCCATCCTCTCGTCTCTCTCCCTCCTCCCGTCTCTCTCCATCCTCTCGTCTCTCTCCCTCCTCACGTCTCTCTCCCTCCTCGCGTCTCTCTCCCTCCTCACGTCTCTCTCCCTCCTCCCGTCTCTCTCCCTCCTCCCGTCTCCCTCCCTCCTCTCGTCTCCCTCCCTCCTCCCGTCTCTCTCCCTCCTCCCGTCTCCCTCCCTCCTCTCGTCTCCCTCCCTCCTCCCGTCTCTCTCCCTCCTCCCGTCTCTCTCCCTCCTCGCATCTCTCTCCCTCCTCCCGTCTCTCTCCATCCTCTCGTCTCTCTCCCTCCTCCCGTCTCTCTCCATCCTCTCGTCTCTCTCCCTCCTCACGTCTCTCTCCCTCCTCGCGTCTCTCTCCCTCCTCGCGTCTCTCTCCCTCCTCGCGTCTTTCTCCCTCCTCACGTCTCTCTCCCTCCTCCCGTCTCTCTCCCTCCTCTCGTCTCTCTCCCTCCTCGCATCTCTCTCCCTCCTCGCGTCTCTCTCCCTCCTCCCGTCTCTCTCCCTCCTCACGTCTCTCTCCCTCCTCTCGTCTCTCTCCCTCCTCGCATCTCTCTCCCTCCTCGCATCTCTCTCCCTCCTCGCATCTCTCTCCCTCCTCGCATCTCTCTCCCTCCTCTCGTCTCTCTCCCTCCTCCCGTCTCTCTCCCTCCTCACGTCTCTCTCCCTCCTCGCGTCTCTCTCCCTCCTCACGTCTCTCTCCCTCCTCACGTCTCTCTCCCTCCTCTCGTCTCTCTCCCTCCTCGCATCTCTCTCCCTCCTCGCGTCTCTCTCCCTCCTCGCGTCTCTCTCCCTCCTCCCGTCTCTCTCCCTCCTCGCGTCTCTCTCCCTCCTCCCGTCTCTCTCCCTCCTCCCGTCTCTCTCCCTCCTCGCATCTCTCTCCCTCCTCCGCATCTCTCTCCCTCCTCGCATCTCTCTCCCTCCTCACGTCTCTCTCCCTCCTCCCGTCTCTCTCCCTCCTCTCGTCTCTCTCCCTCCTCCCGTCTCCCTCCCTCCTCTCGTCTCCCTCCCTCCTCCCGTCTCTCTCCCTCCTCCCGTCTCCCTCCCTCCCTCTCGTCTCCCTCCCTCCTCCCGTCTCTCTCCCTCCTCCCGTCTCTCTCCCTCCTCGCATCTCTCTCCCTCCTCCCGTCTCTCTCCATCCTCTCGTCTCTCTCCCTCCTCCCGTCTCTCTCCATCCTCTCGTCTCTCTCCCTCCTCACGTCTCTCTCCCTCCTCGCGTCTCTCTCCCTCCTCGCGTCTCTCTCCCTCCTCGCGTCTTTCTCCCTCCTCACGTCTTTCTCCCTCCTCCCGTCTCCCTCCCTCCTCTTGTCTCCCTCCCTCCTCCCGTCTCTCTCCCTCCTCCCGTCTCTCTCCCTCCTCGCATCTCTCTCCCTCCTCCCGTCTCTCTCCCTCCTCGCGTCTCTCTCCCTCCTCGCATCTCTCTCCCTCCTCCCGTCTCTCTCCATCCTCCCGTCTCTCTCCCTCCTCCCGTCTCTCTCCCTCCTCGCGTCTCTCTCCCTCCTCCCGTCTTTCTCCCTCCTCCCGTCTCTCTCCCTCCTCCCGTCTCCCTCCCTCCTCTCGTCTCCCTCCCTCCTCCCGTCTCTCTCCCTCCTCGCGTCTCTCTCCCTCCTCGCATCTCTCTCCCTCCTCCCGTCTCTCTCCATCCTCCCGTCTCTCTCCCTCCTCCCGTCTCTCTCCATCCTCTCGTCTCTCTCCATCCTCTCGTCTCTCTCCCTCCTCCCGTCTCTCTCCCTCCTCGCATCTCTCTCCCTCCTCGCATCTCTCTCCCTCCTCTCGTCTCTCTCCCTCCTCGCGTCTCTCTCCCTCCTCTCGTCTCTCTCCCTCCTCACGTCTCTCTCCCTCCTCGCGTCTCTCTCCCTCCTCTCGTCTCTCTCCCTCCTCACGTCTCTCTCCCTCCTCCCGTCTCTCTCCCTCCTCTCGTCTCTCTCCCTCCTCCCGTCTCTCTCCCTCCTCTCGTCTCTCTCCCTCCTCGCGTCTCTCTCCCTCCTCTCGTCTCTCTCCCTCCTCACGTCTCTCTCCCTCCTCCCGTCTCTCTCCCTCCTCGCATCTCTCTCCCTCCTCTCGTCTCTCTCCCTCCTCGCGTCTCTCTCCCTCCTCTCGTCTCTCTCCCTCCTCACGTCTCTCTCCCTCCTCTCGTCTCTCTCCCTCCTCCCGTCTCTCTCCCTCCTCTCGTCTCTCTCCCTCCTCGTGTTACAATATATAAAGTTTATGGACGTTATTGCATTGGCGATTTAATGCTTTTTTATTAGAATAATGAGGGTAAGTCTGACATTTAAAGTCAGTGCCTCCCCAATCACAAACCTCACCGCACGTCACTGGTCCACAGAGATAACTACTGTTGTGATTTAGGGCTATACAAGAATACATTGAATTGAATTGAAATTTTCTCAGCTACAATTGTTATTTTTGTGGATAATAAAGGCCAAACTAGTTTACATCCTGGACAGGGCTGAACAGGTCCAGGTATAAATCAAGGGGAAAAAGTAATAACATTTTATCTTGTTTTAAGAAAAAAAAAAATTAAGAAATACTCACCCCTCACCATTGGAACAAGCAAAAATTTTTGTTAAGAGACAAACAACTTCTCAGTTGAAAAGACAATAAAATGGTTTGTGAGAAACCTCTGGGCTATGACCTAAATAGAGCACACACAAGTCCACTAGCATGCTAATGTTGTTAAAGCTAATGTTGCAAAATAGAAATGATATTGCTACTCTCTACTATCTGGCAATTGTATACACTTGAACAACAAACAAACAAACTTTGATTCATGCATATTGATGGACTCTGCTGAACCCTGTAGTTCAATGAAGACCAACAGGGAAGTGCTCATGGACAAAGTTTACCGCCAACTCAAAAAGGACTAACATTATTGGCATCGTATCAGTATCTGTTTTAATATTGGTGTCAGGACTATAGCTGGATGGATCACTAGTTGAGTGCAATGCACTTGTTGATAACCTGGACCTGTTTCAGATCTGTGAGTGGAGCTCATTGGGGCAGTTTAGATTCAGCCGCTGACGGATGATCAGTTGTGCAGTCATTAGACGGATCATAAATCAATGTGTGTCTAATCCTTTCTTTTTGTGGCTGTAATTAAAACTTTAATTATAGTTGTATTGCATTTATTCTTCCTTTGCACACCGTTAACCTGCTGTCACATCAACAGGAGCTTGTAGCTATTTCCGTCTCTAAAACACTTTGAAGGTGCCATGTTCTATTACATCAATGAAAACTAAAGCCATAAAAAGGTTAGTTATCTTTGAGTTAGAAAACCTGCATTTAGTTCACAAGGGGAAAATGGAACAGATGGAAACTCAGTCTGGAAGATTAGGAGATAAGGCTCCATTTCACACTGAGTCCTCCCTCTTCACAGCTGCTTTTAAACAGAGCCCCTCAGTCCCTGCATCAAGCTGCTGTTTGTGCAGCAACCCACCTCCTCCCCATCACCGCCTCTTCAGTAGGGAACTGTCATGTGATAGGCTCAGCTTCCTTCCCACCAACGTCTAGACCAGAAGGGTTCACAAGCTCCCAATCTCTTTTCAAATCCTTCCTGTAGTCTTTAAACTCCCTCCTGCAGATGTCATGTAGTCTTTCTGACAAACAGTGTTTTAAGTTTAAACACGTTTTTGTAAAAAGGTCAAACTGGCCATGTGTTAGCAAAGGTAAACTAGAAATGGTACAATGGCTGAAGCCATTGTGAGTGGCTGCATAGATGTTGTTAAGGGAAGAAGAAGAAGAAGAAGAGGGAGATGAAGAAGAAATGTGTTGAAAGGTGCTGAATTTGTTGTATGTCCATAACAATTGTAAAGTGATTTGTGACTCTGGCCAAACATGTGTATATGATCCTGATGTATCTTTGTCTTGGAATTTTCCAGATGTAATTGTTTTTTTAAGCTTTCAGTTTGTGGATCTCTTTGTGGTCTCTCTCTGGTCTCTCCCTTGTGGATGGGAAACAGCTTTTGCTTGTATGATGGTAGGAGTAGCAAACCTTACTTTCTTTGTTGATGCTTGGTTTGGTTGTGTATACAGTATATGTGTGTAAATATTACAGTGGCCATTCAAACTCCTCCAGAGACTGTGAAGAAACACACTATTTATTCATTAATCCAAATCAATGTCCATTTATGAGGTATTGATTCTGGGCTAATTGGACCGCGCTGCTCACAAAAGGCAGAACATCAAATTTATAAAAGTGAAAACTCTATATAAAGCTAAGACATAATTGAACAAGTCGTTACTGCCGCGGCTGAGCCATGTGACAGAGACGAGGCCAGAGGAGAGACGGAGAAATAGAAGTGACAATTTGTTCTCATTAGTGAAGGTTTGGCTCAGAATATAGGTTTAAAATCCTCAGAGCAGACCTGCAGAGAAAGAGCCTGCAAAAACAACAAGACTGGAGAAAGGTTAAATTTGACAGAAATGTGATCTTAAAAATAGAGAAAATGGTCAGAAAAGCTGTGAATGAAAAGTGTTCCATGCAGAGAATTGCTAGATAGATAGATAGATAGATAGATAGATCTAGTTTCGATCTAGTTTTTGTTTTGGACCCACCTCGTACCAGATTTGCATTACACAACGTACAGTCTGCTTTACTCTTGACACTCGATCACGTTAGATACTGCCCTACGGCCGCAGTGTTCGCTTGCTGCTGCACTAGCGGCTAATCTAGCAGCAAGCGTTGCCGACTTTCTGAAATCACCATGGCAAATTAAGAATGTGGGTATTGGTTGCCTGCATCGGGTCCTATGGGATGAGTACAAGTACAGGCCTATGGTATGGACCCCATACCAGTATCGGTATCGACGGATCTCTATTTGTTAACCAGAATTTTTGGTCTTTAGTTTTAGTAATCAAGTACTAATTAGTGAATAATGCATTGTTGATTAGCTCTTTATTGTTATCTATTTAGCACTTAGTAGTCCTTACTAAATACAAACTGACACTTTCCCCTGTGGGTTAGAGTTAGGATTAGGGTACGTTAGGGCTGGGAAATATAAACAGTATGAGCGGTATGCGATAAAAATGTGATCACATCCATGGGCTTAATGACAAGCGCCCGTGGCCCGCAGCATCATCCCGGCAGAAGTTTGGTAAAGTTAGCGTCAGATTCAGACTTTGCGGTCAATGGCTCACGAAAGCTACTTTGTTAAACAAAAGTAATTGTGCCAAAATGATCACATTTACATCGATTGTTCAAATCCAATGCCCTGTTTTAATGCAGAGAAATCCATTCCTGCAAGCGCCGATAAAAGCGCTTAGGGAGCGTTAACAAATGTCAAGATGCTTTGTAAACGAACAATAGCTTTTACTGAAGCCATGTACACGCACTAAACTCTCAGACTCTATAAATAAGGACCATGTCTAACTGCTACAGACTTTGATTTCAACATTTGTGAGGTTTTTATGTTTTAGATGAATACATATGTTTTTTCTTTTTTTAAATGTGTTTACAGTAAATGGTCTTTACTGTAACATACACAAATAATGAATGTTACAGCATTTGTCTCCATCCATCCATCCATTTTCTTTCGCTTTATCCGTTGCCGGGTCGCGGGGGCAGCAGAGACGCCCAGACTTCCCTATCCACACACACTTCCTCCAGCTCGTCCGGGGGGACCCCAAGGCGTTCCAAGGCCAGCTGGGAGACATATTCCCTCCAGCGTGTCCTAGGTCTTCCCCGGGGCCTCCTCCCAGTGGGACGTGCCCGGAACACCTCCCCAGGGAGGCGTCCAGGAGGCATCCGGAACAGATGCCCGAGCCACCTCAACTGGTTCCTCTCGACGTGGAGAAGCAGCGGCTCTACTCCGAGCTCCTCCCGTGTGACTGAGCTCCTCACCCTATCTCTAAGGGAGCGCCCAGCCACTCTGCGGAGGAAGCTCATTTTGACCGCTTGTATCCGCGATCTCGTTCTTTCGGTCATTACCCAAAGCTCATGACCATAGGTGAGGGAGGGAACGAAGATTGACCGGTAAATTGAGAGCTATATAAATATCAGACCTTGGCCTTTTTGCACAGACCTCGCCACGGCTCGGTCTGTACATTAAGGCCGCGGTCTGACCTCGCGCTCGGTTAATAAGCCGTTATTATTAACTCATTACTCATTATTATACTCATTTCCGTCAATAGAAGCAGCGTGAGCGGGAGAGAAGTATTTTATCCGCTGAGAAAATCGACATGTTACATTTCTGTGTTACTATACTTTGTAGTGTAACACGTCACATAACTGTATTTAAATAGGGAACACGTGGAAGAGTTTGGTAGCTTCTGACGGGAGCTGATTTGGAACTATACAGTCTGTGGAAGAGGCTGCGTTTGTTCTCCGTTTGCATGACAGAGCACACGGACAAAGACCAGACAGGTACATATCAACTAGCCTAAGGTAAGGTTAGAACATATGTCAGTATGTAAAAACGGTGGCCTATTCCTTTAAATACTGGAAGAAATAATGTTGATTTTCTTTGTGCAGACTGGACACACCTGATTTTCAAACTCAAAAAATATATATAATAGATTCTAATATATAAATAAGTAACAATCTTGACTAATTAATGCAAGAACCTGCATAATTATACTGCAATATATACCGTTTACCGTCTGTGTCCCAAATATGAATTTTAGGCCATATCGCCCACCCCTAGGGAACGTTATCTAAAGTGCAATCCACTTTTGTTTTGCAAAAGGCTGCAACAAGTGAATCAATAAATCGCAAACAAACAATTATGAATATATTTTAAATTGTAGCTTTTATGTGTCCTCAAAAAACAGGTAACAAGATGGCCAATCTGGGAGCAGAATTAGGCTGTCATTTGGGTTGCCAGTTTGTTATGTATTAGCTGGATTTGGCTTTCTGTGCGGCAGTAGGTCATTTGGAAGAGTGTTCGTCTCCATCCGTGGGAGCAGATCCCTCTGTCAATGTGGGCCTCCCTGAGGTTTCTCACTTTTTTTTTTAGGGATTCCTCATTTATACAGGAGGGTTTAAGGACAGTGGTGATGATCGAAGACATTTATGCACATTAGTCTTGTGGACAGACGGCTCTATGTGTTATCATTGCATTTCCCGTGTTTGAACTGTTTGATTAGTCTATGTTGGGGAATCCATAGCTTTGTGAAGTCCTCAGAGATAACTACTGCTGTGGTTTAGGGCGATACACAGATGCATTGAATTGAAGTGTAGCAGATTGGACGTAGGCGTTACACAGAAGCCTCACACTCGCATTAAGTGACTGTCGCAAACAGACTCCACATGTCTTCAGTCCGCGATGCATCTCCCCCTGCAGCTCCCCAGGCGCTGATGCAACAAGCTGAAGTGTCATCCATGACTTTTCCCAGAACGCACCTGCTCCGGTCACATCCTGAGGCTGACGTCCTGGCATTTCGCAGGCTCACAACGAAAACACTATCACTCACCAGATGCAGAGGTACAGAGCCGCCGCCCCTGTGCTTTATAGTGACAGGGAGGATTGGATTCTCAGCCGAGCACGGACTCCTCATAAATGTTTAATCTGCAAGCTTGTTATTGATACAGTCAGAGGCAGAGGTGTTTCAGCAATCACAATAAGTGAAGATGGCAGGCCCTCTCACACTGCAGGAGCCAGGTCCTTCTCACTCCGATGGAGCCAGGGAATACTCCAGGAAAAATGATGCAATAAGTACAGATTATACACACATGATTTCATGGTAGTTTCCATTTTCATGCATTCATTTGAGCAGGAGAGAGGTCCTATATACACTGGTCCTAAATAAACTGGACCAGCAACAAGGGGAGAGAAGCACAGGTACATACAGCGGGGCAAACAAATATTTAGTCAGCCACCAATAGTGCAAGTTCTCCCACTTGAAAAGATAAGGGTTAGGGAGGCCTGTAATTTTCATCATCGGTATACCACAACTATGAGAGACAGAAGGAGAAAAAATTCCAGGAAAAAACACACTCAGATTATCAACTCCCTCCAAAGATTTTTTATGGGGTTGAGATCTGGAGACTCGGTGGGCCACTCATGAGGGCGGGGCAGACGATCAACACGGGAACAGGACAGGAAATAAAACTAAACTGAAATCGCAGAGAAATTGAGTCAAAAGAAAACCAAGAAATAAAATAACAAAATTTACACCATGACAAAGTGTCTCCTTTTGGAAGATTGAAGTGATCCACGAGCGATCCATCAGTACTTGTAGTTGATGCCAAAACATATTGGTATCACCTCCTGATGTAGTGTGTGGGAGAAGGCAGAAAACCACTTCAGATCGGGACAGGGACAAGTGAGAGATCTGTTTTTTCTGGAAATAGAATTGGAAGTGTCGCAGCTGTTGACAGATGTGAGGTGTGTGGGCTTGCAGCAGAAGGAAGAACTGGTGATTTACTGAATGTGGTTATTCCAGGAGAAAATAATGTTTATATTACCATCAACATTTGTGATTCAAATGGGAGAGTAGATGAACTTAAGTTATTGATATCTTCAGAACAATGGGCCTCATTCACGAACGGTTCTTAGGAACAGATTTGTACGTAAATCCTACTTACGCGGTTTTTACGAAGAAAGTGGCATTCACGAATATTTCTCGTAACCAGAATTTCTCTTGGGCAAGTACAAATCCTACGAGTCCTCAGGAGCACTCGTACGCATTCAGTGCCGGCATGTTCACACGCCGGGGTTGTCCTCTTTGGTGAAGTTGAATAAAAATACAACATTCCAGTGATATGTCCGTCATATCGATGTATGTATTTATTTATTTGTAGTAATCTTTATTAGTAATCTTTATTTATATACCGCCTTTTTCACTGCAGATCTGGCCTACTTTTTAATTCAGGAGCACTTTTTCACTGCAGATCTGGCCTACTTTTCAATTCAGGAGCAAATGTGCCAACGCTTTATCAAATACATTGGAAATCTTGCCGTGTATTAGTGACCCCTTCCTATTTATAGGGGGCATTTCTTTATCCACGGGCCACAGAACAACGGCATATATACTGCTGCTGCAGGAGGTTACTGGGTCCGCGCTGAGTCTCTGCGCTGGTCTCTCCTATGGATCTATACGGGTCTGCACTGGTCTCTCCCATATACGGGTCTGCACTGGTCTCTCCCATGGATCTATACTGGTCTGCACTGGTCTCTCCCATGGATCTATACTGGTCTGCACTGGTCTCTCCCATGGATCTATACTGGTCTGCACTGGTCTCTCCCATGGATCTAGACGGGTCTGCATTGGTCTCAGCGCTGGTCCGCGCTGGATCTCCTCCCAGGGTCCAAAATATTTTGAGATTAATCTCAAAACATTTTGAGATTCATCTTTAAAATAATACATAATATATTTTTAAATTAAGCTCATAACATTTTGAGATTAATCTCATCATATTCTTAGATTAATCTCATAATTTTGCTAGTTCGACTTTATTATCATAATATTTCAACTTTTAAGTCAACATTTTATAACTTTATTCTCAGTCTGGTAAAAGAAGAAAAAAGGGTGACTCTTTTGCTCCGTGTAACTCTTTTCTTTAGGCCTGTTGCTGTTTCCTCTGCCGTCTGCACACGGCCCTGCAGCCCCTTATATGGGCATTAGTGGGCGGTTACTACTGCTAAGTACCTATGCTAATGAAGCACCTGGCACGCGCGCTGTACTTACGAGGAAATGGGATTCATCAATCTGAGAGAACAGCTGCGAACAATTCAGCGGCTTACGAGTGCGTTGATGAATCCAACGTGGGGACTTCTTAGAAATCTACTTAAGGACAACTTGAGAAGAAAGTTGAGTAGTTTCTTACGAAGTTATTCGTGAATGAGGCCCAATGTGAGATTCAGGACTGTTTTCATTCTTTATCTTAGTTTGATGGTTTAGTGTCATTGGCCCCATAAGCTGCAGAGAGCTGCCACCAGCCTTTTCAGTCCTGGATCTACTACCTCAGTCCTAGATCTACAGCCTCAGTCCTGGATCTACAGCCTCAGTCCTAGATCTACAGCCTCAGTCCTGGATCTACTACCTCAGTCCTAGATCTACAGCCTCAGTCCTGGATCTACAGCCTCAGTCCTAGATCTACAGCCTCAGTCCTGGATCTACAGCCCAAGTCCTAGATTTTACAGCCTTAGTCCTAGATCTACAGCCTCAGTCATCCCGCTCCTTACGAACCCCTATGTGTTTGTTATTATTGCATTTCCTGTGTTTGATTCCCTGATCTCTTGTTGGAATATCTGCAACTTTGTAAAGTCCTCCTTTTCAAGGAGGCAAGACTGTCTTGTCTTGAATTAGAGCTTTGAAAAATAATAATAATATAATAATAATATGGAAAATTAAATTCTACTGTATGAAGGAACATGGTCCCAGAGCCTCTCTCTGTTCTGTCCCTGTGCTCGGTGAGGATGGATCACTCACGGCTCACCTTAGATCTTAGGGTTTAAGAGATTTGGTGAGTGACTGCAGGACAGACGTGGTTCTCGTGTCTGAGCACGGAGGATGAATTTCTCTCCTGCTGTGAGAGTTTTTCTGTGTCGACTGAAGCGCAGCAGGACTGAGGCGGCAATTAGAGCAAGCGGCGAGATCGAAGAGAGCGGAGCGAGCAGAGAGAAAGGAGAGAGGCCCAGGTACAGAGAGAGCTGGGAGGCAGGAGGTGGCGGAGACAGGGATCTGAACAGAACAGTTCAGAACAGTTCAGAACAGAACAGTCATGCAGACAAAGGGGAGAACCAAGGGGACCTTCTTGCTGCTACATATGGCCTGTGACACCCCTGTGTTAGTGAACATTATAAGATATTTAGAGTTCAAATAGAATGAATCGTAAAGCTTATCAATGTTATTTTCTTGGATCCTTTAGGAGCTACCTGGAAGGGGCTGGAGAGCTACCGGAACCTCCAAGCTGCAGGTTGGAGGCCCCTAGTGGAGTGTGTGTAGATGGGGCTTGTTGGTCAATAATAACTTTGGTTCTAAAACCCAGATAGATTGGTTGTCGTCACAACCTTTCATGGATTAGTTGTTTTAACCAAAAGGTCAAACACATAACTGACACATAACTATCAACTGGATCGGTTAAAACAACCAAGAATCTGGTGAAATGTAATCTATATTCAGTCATAGTAAACTAAGAGAGAAGGTACAACAGTGTGGTGAACGTGTGTGGTACCATCAGCTGTGAGTCCTGTCTGTTCAATAGCTGTTATCTGTCACACGAGTTTGATAATGAATACTAAGATCACAGTCACTTCTGTAGATCAAATGAAGGGAACAAAAGGGACAGCAACTCACTAAAATCTTGGCATCTCATCCTGAGCCAAGAGAATGATTCTATCAAGAATCCAGAGAGTACAGAAACAAGAAGCGATCGTCTTCATCATCGTCTTCATCATCATCGTCATCAAGATATATGAGTTAAACAGTTCTTAATATTAAGGAGATAGCTTCCCCTCTTGTTACATGGCGTGTGATTGGATAATATCCGCCCATGTGACCAGGCGCTCTGTGAAGTCAGAATCAAAGCCGTTTTTTGAATAAAGAGAATGTGAAAGTGGTCCTGAACCAAAGTGTCTGATCCAGTTTGTGGGGGGTGGCTGTAATCCCCGACTTCACATCCAGGCCTTCAACACTAATCTACTACTGCACTGTGTGTTTGTGTGTATGTGCATGTGTGTGTTCCTGTGTGTGTGTGTGTGTGTGTGTGTGTGCCTGTGTGCCTGTGTGTGTTCCTATTTCTGGATGCATTATACCAACAGTGTGTACGTAGCATGCCTTCAATAATCATAAACAGTGGAGAGTGAGTCATGTCTTGTCAAATGTGTTAAACGTGTTAAATGTGGTGAAGTGGGTTGCGTCGAAGAGAAACGCGTCAGGCTCAAAGCTTCTCATTACACGGGGCCACAGCAGTCATCTCGGAGGACTTTACAAAGCTGTCGATTCACCAACACAGATCAGAGAATCAAACACAGGAGATGTAATGATAACAAACACATAGAGCCGTTGGTCCATAAGGGGCAGAGACCGATGTCCATACATTTGGTTAAATTCCCAGGATCATCACTGTCCTCAGACCCTCCTGCATCAGAAAGGAACCACTCAATGGAGATAAAAGTAAGAAATATCACAGAGGCCCACATCCAGAGAGGAATCTGCTCCCGGTATCACAGATCTAAAGGGGATGTATATTGTAGAAGGACACAATGTTGCACCATCCCCCTATAAAATATAATATAGAGTTTATGTGATGATCGTCAGCAGCAGCAGCAGCAGCAGCAGAGAAGGTAACGGGGGAGAGTCTTCCTCCAGGGCACAGAGACGTGAAGGTTTGTGGTGAGGAAGCTCCATGCGATCAAGGCTGAGTAATCTCTTCAACGCTCTATTTCTGTTTGTCCTCTTACCTTTCTCCTCCTCCTCGCTTCTGCATCTCCAGTGCCATTAAAAGAGCGCACGAAGACGGGAGGGGGGCATACTAAATGAGCGCAGATGGGTCTTCTGTGTAAAAGACAGACAGAAGAAATGGAAATAGTGTTTTAAAAGGTGCGGCGGAGTCGGCAGATGGACTCAGGGCCAGATGGAGAGGTTTATAGAGTCAGATTTAGCCGGGACAAATGCATCTGTGGCCATGCATACATTAACAGGGTCACTCTGACGTGTCTGCAGAGGGCCATGGCATTACTGTCACAGAGCTGTGGGGAATGTAGAGATGCACCTACAGAGCCTCTCTAAAGAATTAATGCAGCTTTAACTTTAGCACTTTTGTCAGGTTTACTAAGTGTAGATCCTAAGCATTCCATATGAGTAAATCAAGTGGATAATATTTGATCAGATCTGGAAGTCCTCTCACATTGGTCCTATGGCGGCAAGGTCCTGGGTTTGATTCCACCTCCAGACCAAAAACATATATACTTCCCCATAGAATTAGAGGGTTCTATCTGTGTCTTTGGTCTTTCCAAGATTTTATAGTTTAAAGTTCAAAATAAAAACACCACATTTACTTTAAAATATCCCGTCAGACCTCTGAAGCTAAGCAGAGCAGGGCCTGATTAGTACTGAGATGGGAGACCTCTGAACGCCAGGTGCCAAAGTGGGGCGACTGCAGCTGTATAGTGCTAAACTGTGGTTGTGTCCTTAGGCAAGACACTTCACCCACATTAGAATGAATCTGGTGTGTGTGTGTGTGTGAATGGTTGGTGGTGGTAGGAGGGGCCGATGTCAGAGACTGGTTGCCGGGAAACAGGATCAAACCACAATTGTTTTGCTCAAAACATAAAAAGCCAATGGACCTCTTGTCTCTAAAGCGTCTGTACTCTGTGTGAAGCTGAGGCCTTGTAGTTCTGGCATCTAACCACTCATTTACTCTAATTATAAGTGGGAACTGTCTCTGGCTAAATGGAGGGGAGAGCTGGTCACTGGGACAGAGGGTAATGGAGTGAAGTGAGCCCACCTGCTGTTCGAACACTTCCCCTTTAACAGCTGATGTCACTGAGACACCAGCCTTCACTGAGATGAAAGGAGATGTGAGAAAGCAAAAGACTACTGGAATTAAATGTGATTGCAAAGATTTGTATTAGGAAATGTTGGAACATATCATTCCTGAAAATGTGTATCATTGTTTTTAAAAGTCTTTTTAGAATGGCACCATCTTACTACCCATCTTTATCTATCTTCCTATCTATCTTTTTACTCTATCTATCTATCTATCTATCTATCTATTACTTCTATGACCTCTTTGAGCGCCACCTTCCTTACAGAGCACTTTGCACCCACTCCAGCACTTTAAATCTTGGTTACGATGAACCTTTTCTCTTTGGCTTTCTACACCTAACCTTGCCTGCAAGCTGAATTCTCGCGGTATTTGTGAGTTCACAAACACTCGCGTTAGAGTTCTACACAATCATCAATCTGGCTTTTGCCAGGTTATTCTACACCAGGAGCAAGAGACAAGTTTTTGTTTTTTATGCGTACAAACACTTTTTGTGTCAGAAGACCTTCAGAAGACCAGGTTTATGCATATAATAGACAGTAATACAGTTTTTCTCATTCGCTTTGGTGCATTTTTCACATCGTTCTTCACATCAACAGTTAGTGTATTTCTCTGAACAATTAGTGCAAACTGCAAAACCTCGTCGATAACCTGCAAAAGTGCCTCACATCCTCAAAATGAAAAGTTAATTCCTCAAGAGCAAGTCTTCATGTCGATAAAACTGTCTGTGTCGTCAAAATAAGCCCTGACACCATTGAGTATGAACAACAGAGTCACATGACTTAGTCACGTTTTCATTGTGAAATTGTTGAATTTAGGAAAGATTTTCAGGAAAAAAAAGATAAAGGAATGTATGAAATTAGCTTGACAGATTTTGATTTTGAGAACTAGTTCAACAATGTTGTATGTGATGACTCAAGTGATGAAATGAGGACTATTGGTTTTATAGGGAATGACTATTCAGAAGTCATAAGTATGTTTCATTTTGACTGTGTGACCGACAGGACAGAAGCAAATGATATTATAAAACAACAGATAAATGTATGGTTGTAAGTGTTGGAGAGAGAATGCACTCTGGATTATGTATCAAGAAGGTTTAAGAACATGAAATAGAATACATCAGTCTGGCTCTGAGAGGATGATGGAGAAAGAAAGACAGAGACAAAGAACTGAGTTACTCTTGACTAGTGATGAGGTGATGTAATGTACAGTGAAACTATATTGGAAACACATTCAATTCAATTTAGGTCTTTACAGCCCTAAATCACAAGGGTATTTATCTCCAAGGATTTGACACAGCTGTCGATTCACCAACACAGAGGAAAGAAAAACACAGGAAATATGGGCAACATACAGAAAATACAGCATGGCTCCTCTGTGGTCTCTCTCTGGTCTGTGTGTGTGTGTCTTAAGCAAAATATACTACACTGGCCTCATATCTATCTAACCAGAAATTATAGATACATAGATAGATAGATAGACAGGAGAAATCAAGAGCCAATAATATACTAGTGTTGTATTTGTGTTTTTTTTGTACATGTCTTTCTCTGTTCAGCACTTTGAAAAGCCTTGGCTGTTTTTAAATGTGCTTTTTACAAACACAGATTGATGGTAGTGAGTGTTGGCTGCTGGAGCTTTGACTTTGGTTCAAACTCTCTCCCAGCGCTCGCTCTGAGGCTCTGAGGCTCTGAGCATCAGGGCCTCGACCGCCGCCCTGCTTGTGCCCTTGCCACATCTGGTGCCACTCACTCTGGCCCCTTATGGATCAATGGCTCTATGTGTTTGTTATCATTGCTAATGTGCTGCAACTTCTGGGGCTGGAAAATGTGAAAAAACGCATCTGCGCATGCGTTAGCCGGCACGAGCCCCATTCATTTAACGAGTGCCTTCAAAAAATCACAACGAGTAAACTAGACTGGTCCAAAAAAATTCACTCCCCTCAGCTTTTACACACATGTGGAACGGAGCTCTGGGCCAAGAGCCAACTTTTGGACCGTCCTGTAAAGGTGTTTTCAAGCGGTAAGAAGATGCTATATTGCATTGAATGCATTGAATAATTCTCATTCTGGGTCCACCCCCATTGGCCCGGGGTGGTATTGCAGCATGTCAGCGCACGCCACTTTTGTTTTTGAACTTTTGTGAAGTCCTCTGTGATAACTACTGTTGTGATTTTGGGCGATACAATACATACATACTGCAACATTAACAGCAGCAGAAAAATCAAAGTGTCACAAACATTTATACATAACATTTTTAAACATTTAACTTTCAAAAAATACAATAAAAATAAATGAACAGTTGTTCTTTGTAGGAACTCTGCAACACAAATAAACTTGTCTTACCTTGCCTTTAGTATTCAATTCCCTTTCTTCTTTATTGACAAAACTTCGACCTGTCATTTGCACACACTAGTTTCCCCGTCTATAAGCTGCATTCTCTGATAGGCCTCAAAACAAAACATGTAAAACAAATTTCCTTTTATATATTTATTCATTAAATCCTAAACCAAAGTCTAAACATTTACCCACTCATTCATCCTCACAGTTTCAGTCTCTTTAGTTCAGTTCAGTTTCTGGTACTTGGTCTCATACACAGTAATGTAACTTGTGACACATGTAATCCATAACAACATACGTTCTACAGTACATTAAAAAAAACTATATAATTCTTGTTACAGTAAACAACAATAATAAGAACAGCAATAATATAGTATAATATTTAAAGCCTGTTTTTTGGTTCTCTGCCTTGGTTCCTTCAGTGTTGCTCTGAGAGGCTCCCGTTCCAGTTCTAACGTGTTTCTTTCTCTTTAGCTTCACACAGATATGGACGAAGGCGACGGTCTCACCAGGTACACTCTGGAGGGAGAAGGCGTGGGTTCCGTGTTCGTGATCGACGGGAACACGGGGAACATCCATGTCACCAAGTCTCTGGATCGAGAGGAGAAGGACGAGTACCGCCTCATCGCCACGGCAACGGACCGAGAGACGGGGCGAGCCCTGGAGCCGTCCTCGGAGTTCATCATCAGAGTCCAGGACATCAACGACAACCCCCCAGTGTTTCCCAACGAGCCCTACATCGCCACCGTCCCAGAGATGGCCAATATAGGTACTGCAATAAGTAATAACAGTAATATATATATAGATTTATACAAACCACTTTATAAAATATTGCACATTTTAAAGAACAAGTTTCCAAAGTGCTGCACAGAGACAACACATTAAAGTAAGCACGTCTGCCAACGTGCTGCACAGAGACAACACATTAAAGTAAGCACGTCTGCCAACTTAAGATTTATATATAAAGAAGATGTTCATTCATTTTTTAACATCCACTTTACAATCCATTTCTGGATTGTGGAGGTGGCGACCAGACCTGCCACCCAATGCTCACATTGCTATAAAAAGCTGCAGGAAGTATCTAGAAAAAGTAGCAGTTTATAGTCCAGAAATTACGGTACATGTTGTCTATGGCAACAGTAGCATTATCAAGCTAACAACAGGTGACTTGTGATCAATACAAGTGTCAATCATTCTATTGTAATCCCCTTCTTTAAGAACCTGCCATCCCAGTCCGAACCTGCCAATAACACACACACACAAACACAAACACACACATATATATTTAATCCTGGTGCATTCTAACATCTCGTGTGTTCCATATTCACAGGCACATCTATAATCCAAGTCACAGCTCGAGATGCAGATGATCCCACTTATGGAAATAGCGCCCGCCTGGTGTACGCCATCACACACGGACAGGACTGCTTCTCTGTGGACGCCCAGACAGGTCAGCCAGCGATCATTAATGTCCCTCTCTGTATAATCACAGATAGGTCAAACCTCTCACATTCAGTGCTTAATTTGTAACGCCAGAGGTTTCAGAATGCAGTGGTTGGGTTGATATGGTATAATCCAACTGTGTAGGCTCTGAGATGCATCCAACTTATACTAAGTTGAAATATCCAGTACTTTAGTGATATATCGGGATACACGCCTCACTCATAGTTCACATCAACTTGACCCCCCGCGAGCCATTGCACTTGCAGTGTCAAGTTTGCAGCATTAACTTGTACAAAATGAAGCATCATTGGCAACAGACGAGAGGCATTTTAAATCAGTGCAGTTATAGCAGATTGCGGTGTTTAATGTAGTTTGCACAGTTGCAATGTTGTGGCTAAAACTTGTTTGTTGTTCTTCTAACTAAGGCTGTGTCTGGGTTTTTTTCACTCAGCTGTGATTTGCACTGATAATGAAAAATGATAACTGATAATGAATGGGAACTTTATTAAATGTAGGTTTGTTTGTGTTTTCCAAATGAATTATAGGTCATTTTATATGTTTTTACGAACCATGATCGAGAAGGCTATGCCAAAGGATTTACTAAAGAAGGACTTTATTACTTACAGTCTGTTTACATAATTGTCTAAATTTTGAGTAAGGGTCAATGTTCTAGCTCAAACGCAAATCAATACATTTTGATCTCACACATGTGGAGAGGTGCCGGAACATGTTTCTGCGTGTTCCGGCTCATAATAAGCCCTGATCACACATTAAAGCTCATCTCTGTAACTCCTCTCGTGACCTGATGGTGGTTAATGTCCCAGTGGAGGGTGTATTTCATGTGTGTGAGCATATGTCCAGTAATACAGCAGCTTTAAAGGTTTGCTTTAGGAGAAGGGACATTTAAGGCCGCTCTACAGGGATTCTGCACTCATCGGTCTTAACGTTTTGCCCTCTTCTAGAACAGTATTAATATCAGTATAATAATAATAATAATAGTAGTAATAATATTAATGTGCATTTCCTAAAATACAATATTTAGATTATAATATGTAATATGTGGTCATACATGTATGTGAAAGCCAGATCCTGTCAGACTTCTGAAGCTAAGCAGGACAGGACTTGTTAGTACCGTGATGGTAGACCTTTGGGAACACTAGGTTCCACAGAGTGGCTGCGGCTGTAAAGTGCTTAGGCAAGACACTTCACCCACATTATCAATCAATCAACGTTTATTTATAGAGCGCCTTTCCTACACAAGGCAACGCAAAGCGCCTCACAACCCATATAACATCATGCATAAATCATCAAACATTAGAATTTAAGTAAACATAAAAAGACAGATTAAGAGCACAAGATATATAAAATCACACAAGTAGTTAAAAACCGTAAAACATTAAAATCACACAAGGGATTACAATCATAAATAATCATAAATAATCATAGCGCATTAAAAAGATCCATCCATCCATCCATCCATTTTCTACCCTTTAATCCATTTCTGGGTCAGGGGGGTGGCAGTCAGAGATGCCACCCAAGTCTCATAGCACCAGCCCCTCACTGACCCTCTGCAGGTGGTGAGTCCACAGGAGGACGGCTGCTCTCTGAGTGTGAGCATAGCCTTGATCTTTCAGTGGGGGCTTTTGGGCAAAGTGAGGTTAAGTGTCTTGCCCAAGGACACAACGACAGCAGTCATCAGTGGGAGTCGATGGAGAAGGTGCAGAGGTGGGAATTGAACCCACGACCTTCTGGCCTTAAGGCCAATGCTCTACCAACTGAGCTACTGTCGCCCCCCATTAAAAAGATTAAAGATAAAAAACAAATATAAAATCATTCACTTGTATGCACAGCTAAAAAGAACTGTTTTCAGTTCAGTTTTAAAAACTGCTAGAGTAGACGCCTGTCTCACATTCTCGGGAAGACGGTTCCAGACTCTAGCTGCATGAATCTGAAACGCAGCCTCCCCATGTCTAGTTCCGACTCTTGGCACTAACAGAAGTCCAGTCCCTGTGCTCCTCAGAGCCCGAGTTGGTTCATATGGCACCAACATGTCGCGGATGTACCCTGGTGCGAGGCCATGGAGAGACTTGTACACAAGTAAAGCTACTTTAAAATCTATTCTCTGAGCCACAGGAAGCCAGTGCAGAGACCTGAGGACCGGACTAATGTGGTCGTACTTCCTGGTTCTAGTCAGGACTCGAGCTGCAGCATTTTGGATGTACTGCAGCTGTTTTACCGCTTGTTTAGAGAGACCTGTGAACAAGCCATTGCAGTAGTCCAATCGACTGGAGACAAATGCGTGGATAAGAATCTCCAAGTCTGCTTTAGAAACAATGTTTTTAATTTTAGCAATGTTTCTTAGGTGGAAGTAAGCTGATGATGTCACAGATGATATGTGGCTATTGAAATTTAAGTCTGAGTCCATTATTACTCCTAGATTTCTGACCTGAGTTGAGGGTTTTAGGGAGAGAGACTGGAGGTGGCAGATAACGCTCTCTCTTTGTTTTTGAGGTCCGAAAACAATAATTTCAGTTTTTTCTGTGTTTAGCTGGAGAAAGTTATTTTGCATCCAATCACTGATTTGTTGGATACAGTGAAGGAGCGAGTCCACTGGTCCATGTTCTCCTGCTGTCAGGGACACATAGACCTGAGTATCGTCAGCATAATTGTGATAGGACACGTTATTACTGTGTATTAACCTACCCAGAGGCAGCATGTAAATATTAAACAGGAGAGGCCCCAGGATTGAGCCCTGTGGCACTCCGCAGGTTAGGGCCAGATGGTCTGAGATACAGTTTCCTATCTCCACAAAATACTTTCTGTCCTGTAGGTAGGATATAAACCAGCTTAGGGCTGTTCCAGAAACACCAACCCAGTCCTCAAGTCTCTGAATGAGGATACCATGATCGACAGTGTCGAAAGCAGCACTTAAATCTAACAGGATAAGAACTGAGACTTTTCCTGCGTCAGTGTTAAGTCTGATGTCATTTGTTACCTTCACTAGAGCGGTCTCTGTGCTGTGGTGGGGTCTAAAACCAGACTGGAACATATCAAAAGAGTGATTGATTATTAAAAATTCTGTAAGTTGTTGATAGACAACTTTTTCTAGAATTTTACCCATGAAAGGCAGATTTGAAATGGGCCGATAATTTTTAAGTGCCAAGGCATCCAGACTCCTCTTTTTTAGGAGGGGTCTGATGACTGCCGTTTTCAGGGCCATTGGGAATGTTCCAGATTCAAGAGACATATTTACTATATGCGTGAGTGAAGGTAAAAGACTGCTCAGAACAGATTTAAGAAATCTAGGAGGTAATACATCCAGGCTACATGTAGAAGAACTCAGACTTGTAATTATCATTTGGACAGTTTCATTTTGTACTGGTGTAAAGTGTGTCAGCCCAAAAAGCTTCACTGGCTGTTGGATTGTAATTTCTACTGTGGAGGTGATGGCATTTTTGATGCCTTGGATTTTGTCATTAAAAAACTCTGCAAACTCATTACATTTGGTTTTGGAGGTAAGCTCTGATGGCATCTTAACAGGGGGATTTGTCAATTTATTTACTGTTGAGAACAGAACGCGTAGATTGTTACTGCAACCTTCAATTGTTTCGGAAAAATAAGTTTCCCTCGTTCTACGTAGCACACTGTTGAACTTGCACAATGCATCTTTGAAGATCTCATGGTCAACTTGGAGATTTGACTTTCGCCACTTCCGCTCGGCTCTCCGGCACTCTCTCTTCTGTGCCCTGACAGAGTCCGCTTTTGTCCATGGCGCCTTTTGCTTATTTGTAACAATTTTGACCTTTACAGGAGCAATCGTGTCCAGAACATCCAAAACACTAGAGGTGACAGAGTTAAGTAATTCATCCACAGTAGAACACAACGTGTTATCAAAGTTTATCATCCCCATGAAAAGTTCACCTGTATTTTTGTTTATGTGTCTTCTTCTTCTAACAATTGAGGATTCAGCTCGTGCTTTACTATTGAGACACATATCAAAAAATACACAGAAATGATCTGACAGAGCAACATTGGCCACATTTACATTTGAGATATTAACCCCTTTAGTAATTAGCAGATCGAGAGTGTGTCCTCTGCTATGGGTGGGGCCACTCACATGCTGAGTGAGACCAAAGGTTTCCAGCACAGAGCTCAGCTCTTTCGCGTATCTATCATCATCGTTATCTACATGTATATTAAAATCACCTATGACGACTAAACTATCAAAGTCTGTGCACACAACTGAAAGCAACTCGGTGAAATGATCAGTGAAACTATGACATGACTGTGGCGGCTTGTACACAACAATAATAAGAATAGAAGATTGTTTTTGTTCTATTTTAAAAGAGACATACTCAAATGAGGAAAATTTCCCAAGAGGTACTCTATGGGAGACAATACAATCTTTAAAAACTGCTGCTGTGCCTCCTCCTCTTTTATTTTCTCGAATTTCTGATTCAAATTTGAAATGTGGTGGTGTTGTTTCTATTAAGACTGCATTTTCTGTATTATGGTCAAGCCAAGTTTCAGTCATAAACATAAAGTCAAGATCATAAGAACAGATAAAATTATTAATTAAAAAGGATTTATTGCATAGTGATCTGACATTAAGCAGAGCAAGGTTAAAAATAATATCAGTGTCAGTGGGTTTAGTTGATTGACTACAAAGAATTGGAATTAGATTTCCTGAGTTGGACCGTCTAACTGCTGTCCTTCTGTTATATTTGTGTTTATTCAAATTAAAACACATTTCTGAGCCGGTGCGAGGAACACACACAGTCTCTATTGGTTTAAAAAGTGAACTCTGTTTTACTTTGTTAAGTTCCAGATGCATGACTGAGTAAGTGCCGTTCAGTGGCAGGACTGGTATTACACTGCCAGACGGACAGGGGTCAGTGTTTGCACCACAGTACTCACCCGGTGCTGGTAAGGAGGAGGAAGGTGGTAGTGGGGGCCGAGGGGCCTCGGATGTAAACAGTCACGCCCCCCTCGGGGAGCACTGAACAACATGGCGTAAAAAGTCCATCAATAAACTGGTGCCGTATCTGTTCGGGTGCAGACCGTCTGGACGATAGGCCACGTGACGCTTCCAGAACAGGCCAAAGTTGTTCACAAAAACAAAGTTAAAAGTGCTGCATGCAGACTGGAGCCACATATTCAGCGCCACAACGCGACTGTACAAGCAGTCTCCCCGGTTTACAGTCGGGACTGGACCAGAGATAAAAACACACAACCCGGAGGACTGGAGGAGGCGGAATAGATCCATAAAATGCTTCTTTGTGACCTCGGACTGCTGCAGCTTCATGTCGTTGATCCCCACATGCACGATTACCTTTGAAATGGTATCAGGCAGGGACTGAAGCAGAGGAGGGAGACGGATGAGCAGATCTGGGACAGTAGCTCCAGTAATGCAGTGAGTGACCGCGTTAAAAAAGCGGACGTGCCTCACGATGGAATCTCCAACGATCAGAGTAGTCGGGGCGAAGAGTGGACGTAGCCGCGGAGAGGGCGCTCGGTGTCCATGGCCGGAACCAGCGGGCTCATCCAGGGATGGGTCCGAACCAGGGCGCTGCTGAACACATGGAGGGGAGCGGGGGTGTTGATTCTCAGCTCCGGGCAACCCACGCTGTGTGCACGGAGACGCTGGAGCAGCAAGAGGAGCAGGCTCGGGTCGCTGCTGTTGACCCGGTGAAGGTAAGTGGTGGTGATGCACTGGGGTCAGAGAAGGGGAATGATCACTCTTTCGTCTGAGGACAGCTTCCTTTAAGAGCGTTTTTCTCGCAGTGGACTTAGATCCACGAACGGCAGAGTACGCTGCAGAGTCCAGAGGTTCTGCTGAGGGGGCTGGGATGTCAGCGGAGAGGGCTGCATAGCGGTTTGAAAGGCTCAGCACATGGGCCACGGCGCTGGATGGCTCCTCGCAGTCCGCAGGCTCTTTATTCCGAACCGGGCACTTAGGTGTAGAACAAGAGGGCCCAGAGCTGACAGATCTCTCCCACACGACAGTGTCACAGTATGCAGCGCTCAGTGACATAAGCCGTGAGTGCTGCCCGCCAGCAACATCAAAAAGTTTGGACACGAGTGACTGTTTATCCTGCAGCTCTGCAGTGAGGCGAAGGACTTCTTTACGGAGGTCTGCAATAGTGGCACGGTCCCTCTCACGAAGCTCCAATGTGAGGCGACTAATGTCGTTCGTGGTCATTGCAGTGTCACTTTCCATGTCTGTGGTGCGCTCGTGGTAGCCTCCGACTGGTGTCTGGTGTGTGTGTGAATGGCTGGTGGTGGTGGGAGGGGCCTATGGCATAGACTCTGGTTGCCTCACTTCTGCTAGTGTGCCCCAGGGCAGCTGGGTGTTTGGAGTGATCGATTAATGGTGTGAAGCGTCCAGAGATTGTCAGGTGTGTGTTTCTGTAACACAGAGGATAAAGAGAGGTTCCATATCTGACATGGTACTGCTAAATACAGTATCTTCACACACCTACCAACTTCAGACTAACTCCTGCTTCCCTTCCAGGCGTGTTGCGGACTGCGATGCCCGACATGGACCGCGAAAGCCGAGATGAGTACCTGGTGGTGCTGCAGGCCAAAGACATGGGAGGGCATCTGGGTGGCCTCTCTGGGACCACCACAGTGACAGTGAAGCTGAGTGATGTTAACGACAACCCGCCACACTTCAGACGCAGTAAGAACTCGCCTTATCTCTACATCTGGTCTTCCCCCTTTCACTCCTCGCTCTCCCTCAGTCCCCTCTCTCTTCCTCACTCTCCCTCTCTCTCCCTTTCCCCTTTTCCCACTCCCTTTCCCCCCCTCTCACTCACTCCCCCGCTCTCTCCCTCTTCCCTCCCCTCCCTCCTTCTTGCACTTGTTTATGTGTGTGTGTGGAGATTAGGATGATGAAACATCTTGTCATGGCGTTGGTGACAGCCGTCTGATATGGTTTGCTTTCCTCTGGGCTACAGTTGACTTGACAGGTTAGAGATAAGCTCTGAAGTAGCTAAAAGATTATGGAGCGTTTTTTCCTTCTGCTCGTTATCTAATCATTGTTTTAGCGTGGACGGCGTCGCTAACCTTTGCAGTATAAGTGGATTCTACATCTGTAGTTCCAATACTCCCTCCTTCCACCCCCCGAGGTTCAAATGGACCTTGATGTAGAAAGTGAAAGATCATGTCCTTTTTTCTTCCTTTTCCGAGCTCTTTCCCTGTTCCAAGTTATTAATATTTCATCTTAAAGTTCAGTGGGTTCTGCTTCAATAGACAGGAAAATCTGTGTAGAATACGGCTAACACTAAGAGACATACACTGCCTCCCTCTATAAGGATCTGTCTCCCCCTTTCCCCCTCTCTCCCTGACAGACTCAGCTTAATGTCATTCGTCTTAATGTTTAAAACTCGCTTCTTCTCCTGATGTATTATCCTGCAGTACAATGGTTGATAATAAGAAGACATTTCATATTTCCAAATGCCAGAATATGTCCACCATCATCGGTTTGGAGTCGCAGCTCAGACGTGGTCATTATTATCACTAGATGAAAAACTTGGAAAAAGGCAGAATGTACTGTAGTGATAGGCCCTGTTTATACTGAGACGCTGCGCAGACGTTTCCAGGCTATTAACAGAAACGACCTGGCTCCTAATGCAAATTTCTCAGCGTTCACATGAGGTTGAAAAACGATGCAGTTCTAGCGCCCGGCCAGTAGTGGGCAGAGAAACTTTACAACACTCACACGACCCCCAGGCCCGTGCCCAGCCCCCCTCTCGGCAGTGTACTCACTTCCTGTACCAGACCCTCAGAACGCACCAACATCATTCTGCCTTTTAACAACAGCTGTGAAACTGAACCTAGAGCTTCGCGTGGTCTCGTTTGGACAAATGAAGGTGTAGAATTATCCTCTGTGAAGCGCTGGAAGCCCACGTAGCTAGTTTGTGTTGCCGGCGCCATTGTTGTTGATGTTTGTTCTCTGCTACTGCGCATGTCCAAATTTACGTGCGGAGAGCAACGCGGAGGCGGGGGTCAGAGCAGAGGGGGATTTCACACCTTTCTCCCTCGCGGGTGTGAAAAAGCTCCCCGCTGTGCAGCGTTTCTGAGTTGTCCCACTCTGCAGGCTGGATCTGAACACTTACGTTTTCACCCCCCTGGAACACAGTCTTTGTATGAACGGTTGGTAGCAACCGACATACAACTATACCGTTTTACTGCCACATTGTCTCCTTGTAAACTCAGCCTAAGTGTGGGCAGTGTGTTCAAGTCATGTCTGCAACGTAATTGTATTTCTTTTTTTTTAAAGTACTGACCCTGGCCCACTGTTCTATTATAGTCACTAGTTTAAATTTTAGTACAGTGTCTCCCAAAGTGGGGTCCGCGGCCCCCTGGTGGGCCGCGAGGGTACTGCAGGGGGGCCGCGGGAGGTCAATAAAAAAAATTAAAAAAATATATAATTTTTTAATGTTAAATTTATAATGTTTTGTTTGTAATATTAAAATATTTGTGTTCATTATTTGACTTGAATAATCCACTGTAATCATTTTTGTATTACAATGTTTGTAGCAGAGGCTATTTCCCCAAAATAAAATAACCAGAAGAGCCTATTCTTAATGTTGTCTTCTTGGTTATTATTTTGGGGGGCCACGCAGACCCGTCAGATTTTTAAGGGGGCCTCGGTGTTACTGAGTTTGGGAATGGCTGTTTTAGTAGATTCAACTTTATTGTTATTACAAAGTCAGAACAATGGAAGAAAGTTTAGCGTCTTACCGGAGGTGCAATAGTGCAAGTATAGACTAATATTTACAACTGATAAATAGATTTGTGAGAATGTACAAAGCGCAAAACGAAGCATCTAACTGGCTTTAACTGGTAAACCTATCCATTTTTTTGGAGGATAAGATTCAAACCTATGATGGGCGGGCCTAATCAGTGCTTGTCTTCAAAAACTCTCTTCGCAATTTGAATAGTAACTGACTTTGAGTTGGAGCGACAGTGGCTCAGTTGATGGGTTTGATAACACCAGGAGACGTTCTCCACCGACTCCCACTGATGTTTTCTGTCGTTGTGTCCTTGAGCAAGACACTTAACCCCACTTTGCCTGAAGCCCTCGCTGAAAGATCAAGGCTGTGACAGAGCAGCCATCCTCCTGTGGACTCACCAACTGCTGCTACCGCTGCAGCTGCACCTCCACGTGGAGAGGATCCAGTGGAGGTGGCTCATCTGTTTGGGACGCCTCCTGGAAATGTCCCACCGGATGGAGACCAGGGGAATTCCCTGTTTCTCAGCTGGGAACACCTCAGGATTCCCCCAGATGAGCTGGAGGAAGTGGTGTGTGGAGAGGGAAGTCTGTGTCTCTGCCAGACTGGAAGAAAATAGTTGAATGACGAAGACAATTTGTCCCTAAACTGTGTGTTTACAATACGCAGAATAGAAATGACGACCATTATGGAAGATTTTTTTGATAAATAATTCAGTGCATTGAGTTTGAGGTCTCAAAAAGGGTGAATATGTTATTTTACATTTTTAGTCACATTGGCATTCGTAAGCAACATTTTTTGTGTCTGAAATGCAAAGACAAACATATTCAATCAAGCTTTTTCATGGTGAAAAAATTAAAATGGAAAAAATCAATCTCATTTCAATTTCATAATCTGACGACACAAAAAATCTTCCATACAAATAATAAGTTTGGTACCTCAGCTTTAATCCATGATGATAGTAGTAGCTGTAGTCCTGTACTCTCGCTGAAGAGATGCAGAAATCGAAGGCCAGATAAAACCCCTTTAATACTTCAACACAAGGTTTTCTCTCAGTCTTAACATCACATCATTACTCTTCACATTGACAACAACAAGCCCAGTTCTGCTCATTCAGAATGCTCTTTGAATGCAGCACTGTGCTCCTGGTGCAGAGGAGGAGGCAGAGTCACAGTCTGTGCCTAATGTAATGTTGTATTTTTCCTGTTTACCATGAAAGCGTAGCGTTATTGACCTAGCACATATGGCTGAGTGCCTCTGAAGCACAAGGGACCGGTGCAAGTAAAACAACCGCTTGGAAATAATGATGTGGTGTTTGTGTAGCCATGGAGCAGATCAGAGGTTTTGTAATATCGTTAAGGGTTCTTATTTATGCGCTTAATTCGTTGTGCGTCGTGATAACAGTGAGACGGCAGTGATGGCTGCTTCCAGTTTAGCTTCTGTTGTTCTACGTTCTGGTCTCTGTATCTGCAAGTCTCCCATAGGTCACCTCTCAAGTGAAGGGTGCGAGGGGAACCTATAGGACAGAGTCTCCCCCTCCTCAGCTGCTATACTTAATGATGTAGTGGAGCAGCGGCTTTACTCTGAGCTCCTCCTCCAATCCAATCCAATCCATTTCATTTATACAGCACATTTTATAAAACCCGTTTCTGTGCAGATAAAAGTAACACATTCAAATATACAAGTCTGCCAGCTTCAAATTAAAAAATAAATAAAATTTAAATAATTTAAATAAAAGATAAGTAATTTAAATAAAACATAAATAATTTAAATAAAATAAGAATTAAAATTAAATAAGAATTAAAATTTAATAAAATCAATTAAAATTAAATAAAATCAATTAAAATTTAATAAAATCAATTAAAATTAAATAAAATCAATTAAAATTAAATAAAAACAATTATCTTTTTACATAAAACAATGAAATGAATAAAATAGAGGACCACACAACTCACGCGGTGTTAAAAGCCAGAGCGTAAAGTGGGTCTCAAGACAAGACTTAAAACCTTCCAATAAGTGGCGGTTCAGACTGGTAGACAGAAGAAGTAGTACCTGTTTCTGCCAATCCTCACCCAGCAGCAGCTTTCATTCATGCAGCAACCCTCCTCCTCCCCATGACCGCCTCACACCTTCTCCTCGCTCTCACCACCACGGTCTAGGCCCCAGGGGATTTCATCTCATAATCTCTATTCTCATTTCCTTTCTGCGTCTTCATCAGTGCTCTCCTGGGGTCTAAGCCAAATCTTAACCACATTTCTGACCAGCAGTAATAAATAAATGTAATCTGTATCATCTTTAGAGTTGTATGTGCTCATTTATGTAGTATCAGTTAACTGCCAACTAATAAACGAATCCAGTCTGTTTGAGTTTCTCAGCATTTTGTCCAATATAGATCCAACTGAAATAAGTTCGGTAGCAAATCTGTCCATTGCATTTGACCCGTCCCTCAATCTCTGTGGTCATTGTCAGGACCTGAGCTGCAGGTTTTACTATTGGGTTGTCGGGAGAAATTGAATTATCCAAAGGAAAGTCACCCAAACTATAATGGGAATCTCTACACACAAAGGCCCATGACCTACTTGCTGTGAGACAGAAGTGATTTCCACTCTCTGTAACAGACATATCTCTGTAATGAAGAGCCGTGATGATAGAGAAGGATAATAGTTTGTATTCAGCTGCTTCGGTCTTTGCACTCGTGTCCTTTCTGCATCGTTATCGTAATGTGAGCCGCCGATGACCAATTATTTTTCACCTTCATTAAAAACCTCTAGCACCAAATTACGAAAGGTGTTTTTGGCTCAGTGGTATTCTTTCCCCCTGTGAGACCTGTGGACCCGTGTACACAGAGAATAGATTGATCATTATAATAATTACATGAATTATTGAATGATGACTGTGCTCCTTCAGACCCTGAATAAGGAACATAAAGGGGCAGTTGTGAAAGTGAAAGTTGATAGTATTGCAATCTTTGGGCCATAATTCAATATTATCGCGATTCTAAACATAGTGTGATACAAAAATTATGTGATTTGATTCTGTGATACATTCCAACTCATGCCCCTCATTTAATTTAAAGACATTTCGAACATGGAAGAGAATAAGACTCTTGTCCACTGTGACATTTATTATGGTCTGTACATGAACTGAAGCAAACTCTTAGGAGGGTGCAAAAACGTTATCCTTGAACATTCAGGCATCATTTATCTCAGACGACTCTCGCATGAATGGTGAGCTCCCAGCACATCACTTCCATTATTCACGTACAACAGACTTGTGGCGTTTTTGTGGAGGTTTGTAACGTACAAAAATAAGCATTTGCATAAATAAAGTTGTCTTTTTCTTTGTTGCAGATTTATTTTTAAAAACAAAATGATATTCCGTGCTTAACTTTCTGTCTCTGTAGTTCTTTAGGATTATGTGCATTACAAAACAGTTCCTCTCCACATTACCTGTCTCCAACAATACTAGAGTCAGACAAAAACAGACATCGTAGTGGAACATAAACCTCAGATAAAACAGATGAAAAATGAAACAGATCAATATTTAATCAAATATCTCAAAACTTTGCCGCTGTAACCAATTAATTGTTTGTGCAAAATTTGGCGATACTGAACAGTGGATTTGAATCCTACGCATCATGTGTGTGTGTGTGTATGTGTGTGGTCGGGTGTGTAGGTGTATTTTTGTGTGTGTGTGTGGGTGGGTGGGTGCGTGTGTGTGCCTGTATGGATCTACATTATACATTCATTAGACTGTTTTCACGCTGAATAATAGATTAAATCTTGTTCGTACTGAGTATCAAACTTTCTCTTCGAAGTCCATAAAGGCTTTGAAAATGTGCTCAATCAATGCTTCAATTCTTTTATTTACAAAACTTCAGCAATGTTTATACGTGTTTTGTAAAAGGGAACTCCAAGGACGCTGTATGAGCTGAAAGACAGAACAGAACAAACTAATGTGAGATTTATACCTTTATACATTCATAAAACAATTATTTTCCGGTCGCAGTGGTTAGCGCTTGTGCTTCACAGTGATTGGTGATCTTGTTTTATGTGTGTGTTTAAAGATCTCTAATAATAACTGGATAGGGTATTACTAGCTTATAGCTGTCCCACCCACAGGCACAGGGGGCGCCCGTGGTACTGCAGACTAAATTCACGCGGGCTACTTAGAAAAAAGTCCCATAGATCTTAATGTAAATTAAAACAGCTCGACCTCAGCTGACAGAGAGCCTACAGCTTTCATAAAGATCGGATTTTGTGGGGATTTTTGTGTCCCTTGTCATCCTGAACTTTTTTTCTTCTTAAATCCTTCGGTTTTCTTCAAATCCACAGTTTCCTGTCGGCACTAGATCATATACGGAATCGGGACGAAACCGAAAGTAACAATCCTACTTTCGAATTAGTTTTAGACTAATAATTCCTTAAGTGGTGACTGGTTATGTTTTAGGCGTCTGATTAAGATGGTTAAGGTTAGGGTTAAGGCTGGGTTGGGGTTATTTAATGGGAATGGCTGGTTAAGTTTAGGCATGAATAAGTATTTTGTTATATTTACTTCTGCTTCCGTCCCGATTCCGTATATGATCTAGTGCTGACCCACAGTTTACTGCCACAAACTCTGCTCGTTTCCTTCCCGCTCTGCTGCTGCTCTGGTCAACAGCGCTGATTGGTCAACAGCGCTGATTGGTCAAAGCGCGGCCGAGCCCCTCTGTGCACGTGCATGAAAGCCACACACGCGTATTTGGCGCAACACAGCATGGGAGCTAAAGTGACAAAATTATGACCAGGATATGTAGACAACACTATTGGACAATCATTTATACTGTTTATCAGGAATAAAAAGTGGATTTGAGGGTGAGTTGTCCTTTAATATTTACAGTCTATGGTATGTACCTGACTCTTGCACATTTATTCCAACATCGTGTTACTGCAAATGGCAAATAAACTGAATCTGAATCTGTAATTGAGTGAGGGAAAGGGCTTCATTGTTCCAGTGCGTTCTGCGTCTCGTTTCAGTCATCACTTTGTGGGGAGTGAATGAAAAAATATCTGTCGTCCAAAAACATTGTAAAGCTCTTTGATGACGAAGGTCTGTGAAATGCACTACTAAGATTCCTTCTGTACCCGTTCACACATCCTCAGTTTCACTCTGTACTCTTCGACTCATGTTCAGGCCGTTAAGTCTCACAGTCATGTAACTTTTGAAACAATAACTTTAGCACGGATCAGAGTTAAACATGCAGTTTTTTACTTTATTTCTTTCGTTAATTACTTTTAGAATGTAAATATTGATCTATGTTTGATGATGCATTTTTGTATTTTTGCTAATTGACACTTGAATGTCTCCTAAGGGGGTCAATCAATGTAGCAGATTGTAGAAAGAAGTATATCCATCTATCTATCTATCTATATATCTATGTATTTATGTATGTATGTATCTGTCTACCTATCTACAGTATGTATCTATCTATCTACATATGTATCTATGTATCAATCTAAGTGTATGTGTATATATCTACAGTATGTGTCTACCATGTGCAGGTGCCTGGTCCTTCTCAGTGTCAGAGCTGGCTGCTCCTGGTGTGGAGGTGGGCAGACTGACGGCCTCTGACCCCGACCTGGGAGAGAACGCTCAGCTGCAGTTCACCATCATGGACCAGGAGGAGGCGCTGGTCTTCAACATCAGCAACCGAGACAGAGAGGCCGTGTTAGTCCTGAACCAGGTGAGAGCGAGAGGCCGTGATCGTCCTGAACCAGGTGAGAGCGAGAGGTGGTGATGGTCCTGAACCAGGTGAGAGCGAGAGGTGGTGATGGTCCTGAACCAGGTGAGAGCGAGAGGTGGTGATGGTCCTGAACCAAGTGAGAGTAACGTTTTTGTCACAGAACGGCTCCACGGTGTGACAGTGTGTGTACAATTTTTTGTTGCTGCGTCTAACTTGCGTATGATTTTATATAATCCCCTCTGACCCCGCCCCGTGTGACCCAACCCCCCGGGATTACAGATTAACCCTTTAATGTTCTCCTTGTATTTTTTTCTTTTTTTTAGAGATTCTGGACACTAGATCTAAGACACTAATAACACAAATAATTTGTTTTCATGTTTATTTTTTTATTTTTTATTATAGATCTTTACCAAATGGTTGCGATGCAGTTTGATGGTAAAAAGTGCCTAAAACCAAGTGAGATGGTCCAAAGGCGGTAGATTTCAGTTCAATAGGTCATCATAGAGATTTAAAGAGTGATTCACAAATTGGTTGAGGAAACAATCTGTCATGTTGACAATTTGTTTAACCATATACAGTATGCTCATTGACATGTACTGCCACTAATGATGCAGCAGGAGGCCAGTTGCAGATCCTAAGTGTTCTTTCACTAAAGCTGTTCTCCATGATTCAGCCTCTGCTCATGCACCGTTGTGATGATGACGTATGACATCAAAGCAGCAGCTAATGCACTTTTATATTTGATAAAAATACATATGTTTCATTGGTTATATTTCCCTGTTACATCCGTTCCCAGTGGTCTCTGATTATCAAGTCTGAGCAGGGGGTGTCTGCTTCTGGTTGGCTGCTTTAGAATCTATTCTAATTGTGTAGCATGTGAGAGTTTTGGCTTCTCTCCTGCGGTTGTGAATGTGCTGAACAAAAGGGAGTGATGAGGAACTGGCGCTGGACGAACTGATGCTGACGATGAGGAGATGAATGTAGCAGAATATAGCAGAATGTAGAAAATTAAAATGTTGTTTGGACCAAAGACAGGGTCCAAGTGGATTTGGAGTTTGCATGTTGTGTCTGTGTAGGTTTCCTCCGGATGCTCCAGTTTCCCCTACCACTAACAGTCTCTTAACTCTCTTAACAGTCTGTAATGTGGCCCTTGTTCCTGTGTTGTATGTGTTTCTTTCTCCTCTCTGTGTATCTTGTGTCTATTGTAACTTGAATGTGACAGTGTGTGTGTTTTTTTAAACTGCCTCACACACACACAAACCACAGCACAGGCAGAAGAAAACACACTAAAAAAATCATGATCTCGTTAAAAATTAAAATGAAACAAGCTCATGTTAAACGTTTGACTGCGACGTCAACTCGACCTGTTTGCTCTCACTTCATCAGAGCAGAAGCAGCTGCAGTTTATGTCCTTCTGTCAGAATTGCTCCACGTTAAAGCTGCAGTACCTAATATTAAAGCTGCAGTACCTAACATTAAAGCTGCAGTACCTAATATTAAAGCTGCAGTACCTAACATTAAAGCTGTGGTACCTAACATTAAAGCTGCGGTACCTAACATTAAAGCTGCAGTACCTAACATTAAAGCTGCAGTACCTAACATTAAACCTGGGGTACCTAACATTAAAGATAGGTACTCTAGCTTTAATGTTAGGTACTCTAGCTTTAATGTTAGGTACCCTAACGTTAAAGCTGTGGTACCTAACATTAAAGCTGCAGTACCTAACATTAAAGCTGCGGTACCTAACATTAAAGCTGCAGTACCTAACATTAAAGCTGCAGTACCTAACGTTAAAGCTGTGGTACCTAACATTAAAGCTGCAGTACCTAACATTAAAGCTGCGGTACCTAACATTAAAGCTAGGGTACATAACATTAAAGCTGCGGTACCTGACATTAAATCTGCGGTACCTAACATTAAAGCTGTGGTACCTAACATTAATTCAGTGGTACCTAACATTAACAAATCAGACCACTACATGCCGTCTCCATCTCATATAAAACATGTTTCTCTCAGCAAGAAGGTCCTGGGTTCGAATCCCGGTTGGACCAGGGCCTTTCTGAGTGGAGTTTGCATGTTCTCCCAGTGTCTGCGTAGGTTTCCTCCGGGTGCTCTGGTTTCCCCTACCACTAAAAATATGTACAATAGTTCTGGCATGTGCCTCCTGTACTGGCACCCCTGCTCCCAAAAAATACCAATTGTAAACCGCTTTGAGACTCTGATGTGCAGTGAAAAGGCGGTATATAAATAAAGATTACTTACTACTACTACTACTTGTGAGTCACTAATTGAGTCTTGGGGCTGAGAGCTGATTGGCTGAGTGAGGGTGGTCCACTCTTCTTCACTTTTATGTCTGAAAAATATGATCTAAAGACACAACAGAAGCTAAAACACATGTATGTGAAGATAAGTGATTTACCCAGAAGCCTCACCCTGCCTCACCCGCTTTAACCCAGCCTCACCCAGATTTAACCCTGCCTCACCCATCTTTAACCCACCCTCACCCTGCCTCACCCCGCTTTAACCCACCCTCACCCTGCCTCACGCATCTTTAACCCAGGCTCACCCTGCCTCACGCCACTTTAACCCTGCCTCACCCATCTTTAACCCAGCCTCACCCCGCTTTAACCCAGCCTCAACCTGCCTCACCCACCTTTAACCCAGCCTCACCCTGCCTCACCCCGTTTTAACCCAGCCTCACCCTGCTTTAACCCAGCCTCAACCTGCCTCACCCACCTTTAACCCAGCCTCACCCTGCCTCACCCCGTTTTAACCCAGCCTCACCCTGCCTCACCCCGTTTTAACCCAGCCTCACCCTGCCTCACCCATCTTTAACCCAGCCTCACCCCGTTTTAACCCAGCCTCACCCTGCTTTAACCCAGCCTCACCCTGCCTCACCCATCTTTAACCCAGCCTCACCCTGCCTCACCCATCTTTAACCCAGCCTCACCCTGCCTCACCCAGCCTCACCCATCTTTAACCCACCCTCAGCCTGCCTCACCCATCTTTAACCCAGCCTCACCCTGCCTCACCCCGCTTTAACCCAGCCTCACCCTGCCTCACCCATCTTTAACCCAGCCTCAACCTGCCTCACCCATCTTTAACCCAGCCTCAACCTGCCTCACCCATCTTTAACCCAGCCTCAACCTGCCTCACCCATCTTTAACCCAACCTCACCCTGCTTTAACCCAGCCTCAACCTGCCTCACCCATCTTTAACCCAGCCTCACCCTGCTTTAACCCACCCTCACCCAGCCTCACCCATCTTTAACCCAGCCTCACCCTGCCTCACCGCTTTGAGACTCTGATGTGCAGTGAAAAGGCGGTATATAAATAAAGATTACTTACTACTACTACTACTTGTGAGTCACTAATTGAGTCTTGGGGCTGAGAGCTGATTGGCTGAGTGAGGGTGGTCCACTCTTCTTCACTTTTATGTCTGAAAAATATGATCTAAAGACACAACAGAAGCTAAAACACATGTATGTGAAGATAAGTGATTTACCCAGAAGCCTCACCCTGCCTCACCCGCTTTAACCCAGCCTCACCCAGATTTAACCCTGCCTCACCCATCTTTAACCCACCCTCACCCTGCCTCACCCCGCTTTAACCCACCCTCACCCTGCCTCACGCATCTTTAACCCAGGCTCACCCTGCCTCACGCCACTTTAACCCTGCCTCACCCATCATTAACCCAGCCTCACCCCGCTTTAACCCAGCCTCAACCTGCCTCACCCACCTTTAACCCAGCCTCACCCTGCCTCACCCCGTTTTAACCCAGCCTCACCCTGCTTTAACCCAGCCTCACCCTGCCTCACCCATCTTTAACCCAGCCTCACCCTGCCTCACCCAGCCTCACCCATCTTTAACCCACCCTCAGCCTGCCTCACCCATCTTTAACCCAGCCTCACCCTGCCTCACCCCGCTTTAACCCAGCCTCAACCTGCCTCACCCATCTTTAACCCAGCCTCAACCTGCCTCACCCATCTTTAACCCAGCCTCACCCTGCTTTAACCCAACCTCACCCTGCTTTAACCCACCCTCACCCAGCCTCACCCATCTTTAACCCAGCCTCACCCTGCCTCACCCCGCTTTAACCCAACCTCACCCAGCCTAACCCTGCCTATATGCAGTCATATCAGTGAAGATCCGAGCCGTTCTTTCAGGATTTCAGGTTTTTGAGCAGCATGTAAATAGAGTTTTAAGGTACAATTCACTCACAGTGGTCGCGTGGTACAGGCAAGGCAAGTTTATTTGTATGGCCCAGTTCATACACAAGGCAACAGGTGCTGAACAAAATAAGATAAAAACAATCCCACAAGGAATGAACATCATACATAATCACAGTGCATTAAAATAAGTGGTCAGGGCTAACTATTGTACGTATGTTTAGTGGTGTGGGAAACTGGAGCACCTGGAGGAAACCTATGCAGACACGGGGAGAGCATGTAAACTCAAACTGATTTAAAATTCCTAATTTTTTCCATCAATCTCCTTTAGTTTTGACGTCCCTTTCTCACAGTTCCTGGTGTTTCTCTTCATGTTGCCGCATGTAGCAAACAGTTTAAAGTAATGAGTTTTTTCCCCATCAGATTCCTTTGTTCTTTGTTAAAGAGCGGAGTGGTTCTGCGTCCCGTACGCTCACCTCACACAGCTCTGACAGATATTAATTGCCAATTAATGACCAACAATGGACTGGAGTAATCAGCAGCAGGTGACATGAAACGCAGCCAATTGGAAGTGATTAGGTCAGCGCCACGAGAACTAATATAAATGAAGTTGTTTTACTTTTAAGGCTTCGTCTGCTCTGGGGATTCAGCGATAATTATTGTGGAAGGAAAGAAAAAAGGACACGCAAATTACCTTTGAGAGAGATGAAAGAAAGGAGGCCACAGCTTTGAGACAATGCTGTTAGCAGCTTTTGTTACATATTAAAGATATATGTTTAAATTACTTTTCGACACTATAGAACTAAACTTAGGTCAGAATTGTGAGTTAAGTCCAAGACTCAATGGTGTGTGGAATCTTGGCATGTTGTTTGTTGTTTCTGACTTTGACTTCTATCTTCGTAAGTCAGTCGTCATCCCGCTCCCTATGGACTCCAATGCAGGGATGATAAAAAATATGGATTTAACAAAATAAAGTCCAAGGTGAAAAGAAAGGTGAAAACAAACTCAAAATTCAAACAGGAACCAGGAAAACAGACGGACAAAGATAGCATAGATGCAGGCTACGGTGTGGATCAAGGGCGCAAAGGGGGCGGGGCCACAGACCTCCCTGGAGAATTGGGACACCCTACACACTCGCACCCATCATCGGGAACGCGCCAATGAGGAGCACGAGGGTGGAAGTGCGAGTATTGGGACTGGGCCAGAGAGACACAGGGGAAACACATCAGGGCGGGGCAGACAATCAAAGCAGGGGAACAATACAGGAAGTAAAAGCGATATCAAAGCACAGAGAAATGATATAAAAATAAAACCAAAGTACAAAAATAAAATCCACACCATGACACAATGTCTCTATGTGTTTGTTGTTATTGCATTTTCTGTGTTTGAACTGTTTGATTCTCTGATCTGTTGTTGGTGAATTCACAACTTTATAAACTCCTTCGAGACGGCTGCTGCTGTGATTTTCAATACATTGAAATTAATTTGTTTGAATTGAGAACAATGCTATAAAGAAGAAGAGTCCATTCACTTCTGTGTTCAAATACAAATGCCCATATAAGGAATTAGGCTCAAGCTTACCTGTATGTTCAAATCTTCTTCTGCATTAACAAGGCAATACTTACATGGCAACAAAAAATATTCTCATTATAATTCTGATTAAGGCTCACGTTATGGTGATGTCACACTCTGTCGGCCCACTCCTAATACGCAGTCTGTGCTAATATCAACTTTACAAAGGGAAACAAAGGGAAAAATGGTCAAAAGTTATTGTTAAAAAGTCCAAATCGGGTCCATCTGCCTCTGTCAAACTAGCATCGTTGCTACATTTTCCATTTTACCACCTCCAGCTTTGCACTCCTACTCAGATAACCCTTTAATAAATACTTGATTGTCATATTTAAAACTAGCCGTACTTACTGTTGAGCACACACACACTCTCTGTCAGATTCAATCCAGGGTCAGAAAGAAAATTAAACAGAGAATGAAATAAACAAATGCATAATTTGTAAGAGAGCTGATAGAAGTGTGTCTGGGGGCTGCATGAGCGTGGAGTACGGAGTATACAGCGTTACTGCAGTATCAATCATGTATGAACGGCTTCAAAGAGCGCAGCCTGCACTTTTTAAAGCTTTATTCTTTCCTCAATAGTTGCTGGATTACGAAACTCGCAATTCCTACACGTTCTCAGTGGAAGTGGCCAACCCTGTGGTGGATCCACGGTTCCTGAAGAAAGGCCCCTTCAAAGTGAGTGGCGCACGCTTTTGTATCATTTTCAAATATTTTGGAATATTTATTATAGTACAGTATAGTGTATTACAGTATAGTGTAGTGTAGTACAGTATAGTGTATTACAGTATAGTGTAGTGTAGTACAGTATAGTGTAGTGTAGTACAGTATAGTGTAGTGTAGTACAGTGTAGTTTAGTGTAGTACAGTATAGTGTAGTGTAGTACAGTATAGTGTAGTGTAGTACAGTATAGTGTATTACAGTATAGTGTAGTGTAGTACAGTGTAGTGTAGTACAGTATAGTGTAGTGGAGTACAGTGTAGTGTAGTGTAGTACAGTATAGTGTATTACAGTATAGTGTAGTGTAGTACAGTGTAGTGTAGTACAGTATAGTGTAGTGGAGTACAGTGTAGTTTAGTGTAGTATAGTGTAGTGTAGTACAGTGTAGTGTAGTACAGTACAGTATAGTGTAGTGTAGAACAGTGTAGTGTAGTACAATATAGTGTATTACAGTATAGTGTAGTGTAGTACAGTGTAGTGTAGTACAGTATAGTGTAGTACAGTGTAGTGGTGGAGTGACACGTTACATCCTGAAATGTATCACTCTTTACAACAAATTCATGGCTCTGCTTGTACTTAGTTGAATGAATCATTATCATATCTAAATGTTAAAATGATATTTACTTAATGCAGGAGGAGTTTTGTTGGTTGCTATGGGTAACAATCGTGTCAGGATTGAATCCAAAATAAGAAGATTGGGACACAAACTATTATCAAAATGTTAACAGAAAATGTGACAACATTAGTAAAGAGTCATTTCATGTTTATGCCTCTCCTGCTCCTCTCGGAGTTCTTTCACGGCTTACACTAAATCACATTTCAATAAGGATTTCTATTAATCTAGTCCTGGAACGTTTCAGATTATTTTTTATTTTATTTTTTTAACTACTGAAGAAACAAGGTTTTTCCAAATATTTTCAGACTTCAGGGCTCTATTTTTTGTCTCAGAGTGATTCTATGTTGTCACACGGTTCAGGAGCAGTTATGTCTAATTCCACATGGTTTAAGACCAGTGATGTCTAACCTGTCACATGGTTTAGGACCAGGCCACGGTGCGGGTGATGGTGCTGAACGCAGACGAGCCTCCAAAGTTCTCTCAGAGTCGGTACCATCTGGACGTGTCCGAGAACTGTCCCCCGGTCTGTGCCGTGGGACGAGTGCAGGCGGTGGATCCTGACACTGGACAGAGCCACAACATCAGGTCAGAGACACACACACTGACATCAGAGACACACACTGACTGAGAGAGACACACGCTGACATCAGAGACACACACTGACTGAGAGAGACACACACTGACTGAGAGAGACACACACTAACATCAGAGACACACACTAACATCAGAGACACACACTGACTGAGAGAGACACACACTGACATCAGAGACACACACACTGACATCAGAGACACACACTGACTGAGAGAGACACACACTGACATCAGAGACACACACACTGACATCAGAGACACACACTGACTGAGAGAGACACACACTGACATCAGAGACACACACACTGACATCAGAGACACACACTGACTGAGAGAGACACACACTAACTGAGAGAGACACACACTAACATCAGAGACACACACTAACATCAAAGACACACACTGACATCAGAGCAACAACATCCAGTGAGAGACACACACTGACGTCAGAGCAACACAAAACAAAAACTGGTTTGGAATCTACCAGAAGAATCTCAGTCTCCTACTTTTGAAACACGAGCAAAGCCTTTCGAGGCCCACAGACAGAACCGGGTCGACACATCACCCACTGCTTCATCAGAAGAAGATACTTTGAGCTGCTCTGTAACACTTAATTAACAGATTAAGTGATAATTAGTGTGCCTAACTCTATCTCCAACTCTAACTCTAACCCACATGGAAAAGTGTCAATTAGAAGTTAGTTAGCTGAATAATGCCATGTTGAATAAGGACTAATAAGTGCTTAATAAATACCAATTAACAGCTATTGAACCATGAATTATAAACTTATTAGCACTTGATTAGCTGCTGTTCTTCGAGACAGAACCGAAGCCACAGATGATAACAAACACTGGATAATAAAAGAGTGGATTCGGGACAGAGAGAGTTTAGAGTCAGCAGATCTTTAATCACAACCTTAATGAGACACATCAGACGTTTGTTGACAGCTCTAAGTTATTATGGAAATATGGGCCACTTCATCACGGCGCGCCAGCTCTGACTTAGAGATGTCTGTGTGAAGAAAACCAAACCGATCGCGACGCACGAAACACACAAAAGTATTCAAGTTTTGAATTAAAAATGAATTAGATCAATCAAAAAACATTCTGAGGCGATCAGAATGTGCTCAAATTAAAATACATTTTACCAAATTTGAGCAATATTTGACTTCATAACAACCTCCTGATTCAAACTCTCTCTCTCTGTCTGTCTCTGTCTCTTTCTCTCCCTCTCTCTCTCCGTCCTACTTCTTTATAGTGTTCGACCTCAGACAGACTCTCTCTTTGGAGGTTCTCAGACTGACTCTCTCTCTCTCTGTAGGTTCTCAGACTGACTGTCTCTCTCTGTCTGTAAGTTCTCAGACTGAGTCTCTCGTAGGTTCTCAGACTGACTCCCTCTCTGTAAGTTCTCAGACTGAGTCTCTCGTAGGTTCTCAGACTGACTCCCTCTCTGTAAGTTCTCAGACTGACTCAGTCTCTCTGAAGATTCAAAGAGACTGACTCTCTCTTTGTGGGTTATCAGACTGACTCTCTCTCTCTGTAGGTTCTCCATAGACCCTCAAACGGACCCTGAGGCCTTGTTCAGAATCTCCTCTGACAGCGGCTCAATCAGCTCTGTGATGGAACTGGACCGAGAGGAAGAGCAGTGGCACAATATCACTGTCATTGCCACACAGAGAGGTATACACACGCACACACACACACAGAGGTACACACATACCATGGATCTATAATAATAATCATATTACTAGCTTATAGCTGTCCAACACGTGGGCAGCCGCAGTACTGCAGACTACTACTTCACGCTACCCAGAAAAAAGTCCCATTGAACTCAATGTAAAGCTGGACCTCAGCTGATTGAGCACCTTCAGCTTTCATAAAGGAGGATTTTCTCTTGTCGTACTCAACTTTTCCATCCATTCCATCCATTTCCTTCCACTTCATCCGTTGCTGGGTCGCAGGGCAGCAGTCTCAGTAGAGACGCCCAGACTTACCTATCCACATACACTTCCTCCAGCTCATCCGGGGGGACCCCAAGACGTTCCCAGCTGAAAGACATAGTGCCTTCAGCACGTCCTTTGTCTTTCCCGAGGTCTCCTACTTTGCATTTTGGCTCAGCTCCATCTTTACCACGATGGTCTGATAGAGAGCCATTTTGTACCCTTTGGCAACGCCCCCGATCGCTACGTGATGTTGCGGAGTTGTGTCAGAACCGGGATGACCAGAGAAAGTTCTGCTAAGCTTTCGGTGCCCATGGTGGGGAGCTGCTGAGCACAAGCAATTGATTTGAATAGGCCGCCATCTTTGATCGCCAGGCTTCACACACAAACAGAGGCACACACACATACACACACACACAGACACACACACTCTCACAGAGGTACATCCCTGGGGCTCTCACGGCAAGAGGCGTCCACAGTTTGACGGGTTTTCACTTCAACAGAAATGAAGGTTTTCTATTTGGATTATTCATGAGCAACTGCATCTCTTCTCCTGTGAGGTCGCAGCTGATGAAATCTAAGAAATTCTCTAAGTGAGAGATTTTATACTTGCTTCTGTATTATGCTAAAGTTACAGATGTAATTTTATGTTGGCATAGATGTATGGTTTATTTATTGTATCTTTTGTTCTGTGCTCCTCATTCCTACTGTTCTGTGCTGGAAACACTGACATTTCCCCATTGTGGGATCAATAAAGGATCTCTTCATCTTAAGCTTATTTTAGACCTAATTTGATCCATTTTTAAATTGCAGATATTCCCAGATGTGAGCAAGGATTTTACATATTCATAAGGAAAACCAAAACCTATTTGATTTATTAGTGATTTATTCGTGATTAAGCCAAATGGACAAACATACAAATCGAATATGTTGAGTTTTTACTGTGATCATTTCCAGGTGTTTTCTCTTTCTTTTAGACAACCACAATCTGGTGTCGCGGGTCGTGGTCGCCATAGAGACACTGGACCAAAACGACAACGCTCCGGAGCTGGACCGACAGTATTCCACATCTGTCTGCGACTCCAGCGCTCCGGGACAGGTCTGACTCTAGGAGATACTACAAACACTTTATTCCTTTACGTGTGACACCTGCAAACTGAATGCATTTACCTGACGACTGGTGAATACTTACAACTACTTACACATTTTCAGATAATTGTGTCTTCTCTTCACTTATCTCAGAGAGACATCAGAGAGAGAGAACAGAGAAAGACCAGAGAGAGAAACTAGAGAGAGGCCAGAGAGAGACTAGAGAGAGACCAGAGAGAGACCAGAGAGAGACCAGAGAGAGACCAGAGAGAGACCAGAGAGAGACCAGAGAGAGACTAGAGAGAGACTAGAGAGAGATCAGAGAGAGCGACTGGAGAGAACTGAGACGTTTAATGCATCGACAGATAATTGTCTCTCTTCACTTATCTCTGGGCAAATATTGATAAAAGCTGCTACTTTATTTATAAAGATAATAGGGTCTTAGTGAACTGCATTAAGGTGGACGAGATGCACAAACCTTTAAAAATCTGTTATTATTATTGGAGCAACAGTGGCTCATTAGTTGAGCATTGGACTTTATACTTAATAGTCATGGGTTCAATCCCCGATGACTCATGTCATCCACTCCCACTGATTTCTGCTGTCGTTGTGGTCCTTGGGCAAGACACTTAATTCTTCTGCAGGTCGTGGTCCGGAGGATCAGGAGAATCAGAGCTCACATTGCTGCCTCTTGATCCAGAAATGGATTCATAAAATCTCAGTTCTCTCAGTTCTCTCTGGTCTCTCTCTCTCTAGTCTCTCTCTAGTTTCTCTCTCTGGTCTTTCTCTGGTCTCTCTTTGGTCTCTCTCTCTCTGGTCTTTCTCTGGTCTTTTTCTGGTCTTTCTCTGGTCTTTCTCTGGTCTCTCTTTGGTCTCTCTCTCTCTGGTCTTTCTCTGGTCTTTGTCTGGTCTTTCTCTGGTCTCTCTTTGGTCTCTCTCTCTCTGGTCTTTCTATGGTCTCTGTGGTCTCTCTGGTCTCACCTGAATAAGGAAAGTGGCTCCAACTCATGTTCAAATCGGCTTCTTCCGTATTCTGCAAACATTATGGTGTCTGTCCTGATATACAGTCTGTGGGAGGGACCTAAAACTAAATCCCGGTTTGTTGTTGTTGACGAGGGAACAATGTTATAACATGATTAAAAGCTCAAAAAAGTAGATGAAAGTAGTAGATGAATTTAGTGTTTTTTAACCATTCACCATGTGGCGTTTTTGATCATTTGGTTCAGGGAAGTGTTGAAAATTATATCTTTTTTAGCTTCTGCTTTAGTTTTTTTAGCCTTTCCAGAAGTGGGACACAAAATATGAATCAAAGAAACTGGTGCAAATGAGAACCCCGTGTGGGGTTTCATTTGCACCATGCTTTGATCACATGGTTATGATCACATGCTTTGATTTGTTTCTGTTTCAAAGTGAGTCCACCACTGTCCGAGTCAAACGTAGCCAGAACAAAATGTGTGAAAGTATTATTAATCCTGTTATTTTCCAGGTCGTCCAAGTTGTGCGAGCCGTGGACCAGGACCAGGGAGGACAGGACATCCCCATCCACTTCAGCATCGCTCCGGAGTCCAGCTCTGCCCTTAACCTCTCCATCAAAGAGTCCGGAGGTAAACATACTGTATTCTCAATCCTTTTTTTTCTTTCTTTATTGTCACCGTCACATTTTTGCCCATGAACTCCTATAAAATAGGTTTTCAGTACAAGGGAAAGAACTATGTCTCTCAGCTGGCCTGGGAACGCCTTTGGGTCCAGCTGAACGAGTTGGAGGAAGTGTGTGGATTGGTAAGTCTGGGCGTCTCTGCTTAGACTGCTGCCCGGCAAAGGATGAAGCGGAAGAATATGGATAGATGGATGGATGGATGGGAAAAAATAAATCATTCTCTGTAGTTGCCACTGTCCAAGTTCACTTTCCATTTCATAGATAGATAGATACTTTATTGTACTGTCTGACAGCGGTGGGGATAAAGGCCCTGCGGTGGCGTTCCTTCTTGCACTGAGGGTCCTTCAGCCTTTCACTGAAGGAGCTCCTCAGCTCCTCTACAGCTCTGTGCAGTGGGAGGTGTTGTCCATGATGGAAGTGACTTTGACTAGCACCCTCCTGTCCCTTATAGTGTTAGATATTTCACCTCTGGACGTTGGCGATGGTCCAGTGGATTTCACTTGGTCTCTCTGTCTCTTCTCAACTCCAGCCTCAAATGTCACGCCGTGGATTTGGCTTCTGTGTCATGTTTGGTCTCTGTGATCAGGTGTGACAGCCAGCCTGGTTCTTCAGTCGGCCCTGGAGCCCCTGCCAGGCTTCTCTACGGCCTCAGTCGCCACGTACGTGCCACTGGTCCTGCGTGACGGAGCCTCTGGTCTCACCAACACAGGGACAGTGACCGTGACCATCTGCCCCTGTCTCAGAGGGGGCATGCACACTGAAGACAGGGGGCGCCAGCGAGACCGCAGGTGGGAGCGGCACATGGTTTGTGTGCCTGTCTCCTCCGCCTCGCCATCTCTCATCTTCAGTCTGATCACGCTGCTGGCCATGCTGGCCTGCGTCACCACTCTGCTCGGTATGTACAGTGTTTAAAGACAATTCACAAGAATATTAAGTAGAAGCCTTGGAATTACAGTTGTGGTACCTCACTTTATGATTTCATTCATTCTAAATGTTGTTTGACCCAACTTTTCATGTTGATTGTTCAATTCATTTTTTTGTATTGCCATAAATCACAACAGTAGTTATCTTTACAAAGTTTTTGATTTGCCAACACAGATCATCGAATTATATGGAAGCCCGTTTCCGCCATGTAAAAAAAAAAAAAGCATACAGAAAGTCAAAATTTCGACTTTAAAACTATCACAACATTATTGCTGCTACTTCATGGATGTGGTCACTGTCTGTAGGCAAAATCTTCACATAATCTGCAGATAGAGGATGACCCATGGTCATGGATCTATAACAGGGATGACCAGAGACCGTTCCAGACAACAACACATACGAGTTTTCAACTGCACATGCGCAGTTGAAAACTCGTAATTTTGACTTTTAATGTCGAAATTTTGACTTTAAAAGTCGTAATTTTGAGTTTTAAACTCAAAATGTTGACTTTCTGTATGGTTTTTTTTTTTTTTTACATGGCGGAAACGGGCGTCCCTAGAATTAAACACAAAAAATGAAATAAAATGAAAAACACATAGGTTCTGTCAGAAACCAGAAAGAGAGAGACCAGAGAGAGACTAGAGAGAGACCAGAGATTGAATAGAGAGAGACCAATCTTTATGTATACAATACCTTTCACAGACCAGAGTTACAGAGAAAATGTCTGTGGGCATTTGTCTCTAACTCCACACAAAGATGGGAGCAGGAGGCACATGCCAGCTCTATTGTACATGTTTTTAGTGGTAGGGGAAACTGGAACACTTGGAGGAACCCTACACAGAACCTGCAAACTCCACACAGAAAGACCTGGAGGTGGACTCAAATCCAGGACCTTTTTGCTGTAAATAAACAGGCCAGAATACTCCATTGAAGTTCATAATAAAGCACAGTGTTCTTTTGAAGTTGACGTAGATCTGTGTTGTCATGTGTCTTAATTAAACCCCGGCGGGTGCTTGTGTGCTGCCCCTCAGTGGTGTGTGCCCTGTCGGTGTCACTGCGCCATCAGAAGCGAGACCCTCTTTCTCCGTTCGAGGATGACGACGTAAGAGAGAACATCATCTCGTACGACGACGAGGGCGGAGGAGAAGCTGACACAGTGGCGTTCGACATCACCGCGCTTCAGAGCATGCACCGCATACAGCACATCCAGAACAACAACCGCAACATGTGAGTGGGGGCATGGGAGAGGGTCTGATATGTGAGTGAGGGCTCCGAGAGGGTCTAATGTGAGTGAGGGCGCCGAGAGGGTCTGATGTGAGTGAGGGCTCTGAGAGGGTCTGATGTCAGTGAGGGCTCTTAGAGGGTCTGATGTGAGTGAGGGCTCTAAGGGGGTCTAATGTGAGTGAGGGCTCCGAGAGGGTCTAATGTGAGTGAGGGCTCTTAGAGGGTCTGATATGAGTGAGGGCTCTGAGAGGAACTGATATGTGAGTGAGGGCTCCGAGAGCTTCCCACTTGAACATCTGCTGACATGGTTCAGCACTGGTCCTAGGCATCTACACTAGTCTCAGTGCTGCTGGTGAACCAGGCCTGGATCCGCCCTGGAGTGACAGGGCTATAGTTTAGTGCTAAATACGCTGTGTGTCTAAAGTAGACGGAGAGATGCTTGTCCTGCATTTGTCAATTAGACTGTAACAGCTGCTCACTGGGCTGAAAAACAGGCTGAAAAACTAGAAGTATGATCACATTAGTGCTGTGCTCAGATTTCTGCACTGGCAACAGAGGGAACACCTATTAAAATTTATCACCAGAATGATTGACAATTAGGAGGACCAATAGTCCAGATAATCCACCCGGAAGAAGAAAACCTTTAATGTTGTGTATATTGTGTATAGTGTTAGTAATGCAATGAATGCATTACTAACATTTAACATTTCACTTCTGTGGCACAGATGGTTCACTCAGACCACAGCACCCAGACCCAGGACGTACAGCTGCAGCCGCGCCCCTCGCCCCGCCCCAGACGCCCCCAGGCCAGGCTCCGCCCCACTGTACGGGCGCCTCTGCTATGGCCTTCAGACCCTCCCTCACAACGGCCTTCAGACCCACCCCCACAATGGCCTTCAGACCCTCCCCCACACCCTGAACCACACCCTGCCTGTGCTCCGGGACTTCCCCCCAGTTGGACCCCTGGAGTCCGGGCTACAGATGTCCCAGTTCACCCCAGGACTCTCCTCAGGTAATGATGATTAACACTGTAGTACAGTGTTGAGTGTGTAACATGTGTAAGAGTCCCCAGTGTGCACCAGACAAATACATAAACAAAACAAAGTTAAAAAAGTACAGAAACAATCATCACTGTGAAACCAACCAAACAAAAACATACATACATACGTACATAAAATATCATTACAGTGCTTTGACTGATAACAGCTGAAAGAAGCTGTTAGTTTATCCAGATGTCCTGCAGTCAACAATATCGTCTGCAAGAAGGATGAAGCTGGAACATGGCTTTTCCAGGAGAAGAGTCTGGATTCATAAAGAACCTCCAGAACAGACAGCTCACAGTCCTCTTTCAGAGTGGAGAACCTCTCTCTGGTCTCTCTTTCTGGTCTATCTCTCTGGTCTCTCTCTCTGGTCTCTCTCTCTGGTCTCTGTCTAGTCTCTCTGGTCCTCTCTCTCTAGTCTCTCTCTGGTCTCTCTCTCTGGTCTCTGTCTAGTCTCTCTGGTCCTCTCTCTCTTGTCTCTCTCTGGTCTCTCTCTCTGGTCTTTCTCTCTCTCTGGTCTCTCTCTGGTCTCTCCGTGGTCTCTCTCTGGTCTCTCTCTTTGTGGTCTCTCACCGGTCTCTCTCTGGTCTCACAGCTCACAATCCTTTCTCAGAACAGAGCACCTTGTTTAGAGCTCTCCTTTCTCTCCGTTGACCGGTCTAACCTCAGCTCTCTCCTCAGGGATCACCTCCTCGGGAATCTCCTCCACTGGGATTGCCTTCTCTGGAATCTCCTCCTCTGGGGTCTCCTCTTTGGGGATCTCCTCTTCGGGGATCACCCCCTCTGGACGCCTCCGGAACTCTCTGGTGATCCCCAACCACAATAGCTTCGAGACCCTGCTGCGCTCGCCTCACATCAACTCCACCATCTACGAAGCCGAGCTCACCATGGAGCAGAGAGAGACGGGAGCGGGGGAGAGAGAGGGGGAAACGGGGGAGAGGAGGAGCGAGGTGGAGGAGCAAGCCAAGGTCAGACTGATATTATGCATTCACAAAGTGTAGCTCGTTTTTCATGCTTGTACTGCGGGTTCAACCTGCCTTCAAAAGTAAGGAAGTGAGTAAGTAATCTGTATTTATATGTCAGTTTTTTACAGACCAAGGTCACCCAAAGCACTTTACAAAGTTCAGAGTTCATTCTCTCTACACAGTGATGGAGGAAGCAAGTCTCAGAAAAGTCATCCAACGCAGTATTTTTGGGTATTTAAAATGATAATGAGACTATTTATTTTGTCATGTTGCGTTTTATCATTGAAAATACATGGTGAAACTACAATGAATGATAAAAAATGATGTCGTCCTGTAACTCCCTATGCCACCACCAGAGGGAGGAGTTTGTTTGTTTGTTTTCGCTTGAAAAAATAATAAAGCTCAGTTGGAGGCTCCTCTATAACCTTGGGGACTTTCCTCTGGACAATAATCAGCACAAATTATATTTAAAAATGTCTTATTTAAATTACTAAAGTAAAAGTTTTCAAAATTGTATATGTTTTTCTTTAAAGTCAATCACTAATAGTTCAAAGCTTTAAACATAATGACAAAAACATTTTTAATCGTGGCATGAAGGTCCTGGGTTTGATTCCACCGCCAGGATTTTCTGTGTGGCGTTTGCATGTTCTCTCCATGTACAATAGTCTGGCATGCGCCTCCTGTAGGCGACCTGCTCCATCTCTGTGAGGAGTGAGAGACAAATGCCCACAACATTTGTAAAGTGCTTTGTGACTCTGGTCTGTGAAAGGTGCTACATAAATAAAGATGACTTACTTAATTATTCCTATGTTCAATGCTGCCTACATATCCTACAACCGTCCAATAATGTAAAAATGAACCAGGATTTCACAACTGCAGCTGTCTGTGCAGATTCAAAGCCACAAAACCCCATTGTACCACATGGAATAATCCTGTCGTGTGTATGTGTATGTGTGTGGGGGTGTGGGTGTGTGTGTGCGTGTGTGTGTGTGTGTCTGTGTGTGTATGTATGTCTGTGGGTGTCTATGGCTGTGTGTGTGAGCAAGAGGGAACTACAATACACGTATTGAATCATAAATTGCTTTTTATGTCTTTCAATGAAATGAAATTAACATGGTTTACCAGCAGCGGAGCACACACACACACACACACACACACACACACACTGTTGGTTTTACTGTAGCATCGCTTTGGGCCCAGTTTTCATGTTTTAATTTGGCTCCATACACTGTACTCCCCCGACAATGTTTCTAGCTTTTATTTACGAGGCTCAACAAGTTATAACCTACAATAATTCTGTATGGGGTTCATGGGAGTTAGCCCAACCTGTCCACATGTGCTTTGTGGACTTGTAGAAGCGTTCAACCGCATTCCCCCGGGGTGTCCTTTAAAGGGTTCTTCGGGAGTACGGGGTCCGGGGTCCACTGAGGAAGGCCATCCGGTCCCTGTATAACCGGAGCCAGAGCTGCGTTCGCATTGCCGGCACTAAGTCAGACCTGTTCCCGGTGCATGTTGGCCTCCGCCAGGGCTGCCCTTTGTCAACAGTTCTGTTCACTGTCTTTATGGACACATTTTTAGGGGCAGCAAGGGCCCGCAAGGGGCCAGAGGGGATCCGGTTCGGAGACCACAGGATTTCATCTCTGCTGTTTGCGGACAATAGCTGCGTTTCCATTGAGCATCAAATTTCGAAATTTGAATTTGCGCATCATAAAATGTCTAATGGAAACGCGCAAATTTCGAATAAACCACAGTTTTTTGATAAAAAGTTAATGCGCTTAAAATAGGTGGTTTTTTGGACGTATCGAAATTAAGTTTTTCGCAAAACGGCAATGGAAACACTTATTTCGATATAGCGGAGGAAGCCGAGCTGAGCTTTATTCAGTGAGTTTTGGCTGCGCTTCGTGTGGAGACTTGGGAGATACGTGGGAGAGGCATGGGGGAGAGACGGGGAAGAGACGGGGGAGAGGCATGGGGGAGAGACGGGGGAGAGACGGGGGAGAGGCATGGGGGAGAGACGGGGGAGAGACGGGGGAGAGACGGGGGAGAGACGGGGAAGAGACAGGGGAGAGGCATCATGGGGGAGAGACGGGGGAGAGGCATGGGGGAGAGACGGGGAGAGGCATGGGGGAGAGGCATGGGGGAGAGACGGGGGAGAGACGGGGGAGACAGGCAAGACCCGTGTCTATGGTTCTGTGCGCGCGTCTATGTTCCGCGCTCGGTACATGACCACGCGCGTTTGCGGAGCTGTCAAAGCAGCCACAGTTTCTCCCGGGGTCAGAGAGGATGAGAGCCGCAGCAGAAGTCAAGACATTAATATATCTCACGTAAATCAAAGTGTTGTTTACTTCTGTTTCCATGTTGACGTACTAGAAACTAGTGAATAAACGCGCGAAAATAGTGTATACTTATTCGAATATGTCTTAATGGAAACAGCCGCTTTTGCGAATTACAGGTTTTTCGAATTTTGAAATGTATCGAAAAAGTTTTTGCGCATTATTCAATGGAAATGCAGCTAATGTTGTCCTGCTGGCTCCAACTAACCAGGATCTCCTACATGCAGTGGGACGGTTTGGGACGGGAATCAGCTGGGATGAGAATCAGCACCCCCAAGTCCGAGGCCCTCTCCAGGTGGGTGGAGCGAGCCTTTCTCGTGGAGGAGTTCAAGTATCTCGGGGTCTTGTTCACGAGGGAGGGAAAGATGGAGCGTAAGATTGACAGGCGGATCGGTGCAGCTGCGCAGAGACGCGGTCGCTGTATTGGACCATCGTGGTAAAGAGGGAGTTGAGCCAAAAAGCAAAGTTCTTGATTTACCGGTCAATCTTTGTTCCCTCCCTCACCTATGGTCATGAGCTTTGGGTAATGACCAAAAGAACGAGATCGCGGATACAAGCGGTCAAAAGGAGCTTTCTCCGCAGAGTGGCTGGGCGGTCCCTTAGAGATGGGGTGAGGAGCTCAGTCACACGGGAGGAGCTCGGAGTAGAACCGCTGCTTCTCCATGTCGAGAGGAACCAGTTGAGGTGGCTCGGGCATCTGGGGAAAACCCAGGACACGCTGGAGGGACTATGTCTCTAAGCTTGCCTGGGAACGCCTTGGGGTCCCCCTGGACGAGCTAGAGGAAGTGTGTGTGGATAGGGAAGTCTGGGCGTCTCTGCTTAGACTGCTGCCCCCGCGACCCGGCAACAGATGAAGCAGAAGAAAATGGATGGATGGAATAATTCTTTATCTAACCTCGGCCCATAGCTTTTCTTTACAGACATCTATCATAGTATGTAAATACTGTAGGGATGAAAGAAGGACCTTAATGTTGAAGAAAATCAAGCAATTGAATTAAATTTGTGTACAGCCCTAAATCACAATGTTAGTTATTTCATAGGACTGTACAAAATTAATTCACTAACACAGATCAGAGAATTAAACAGTTGGAATCAAATGCAATAATAACAAACATATTCAACCATTAGTACATAAGGGCGACAGTAGCTCAGTTGGTAGAGCATTGGCCTTTGGGCCTGAAGGTCGTGGGTTCGAGCCCACCGTAAGACTTACTTCACGACTCCCACTGATGACTGCTGTCGTTGTGTCCTTGGGCAAGACACTTAACCCTACTTTGCCCCAACTGAAAGATCTCAGCTCCTGTGGACTCACCACCTGCAGGAGGATCAGTGAGGGGCAGGTGCCCTGTGAACTGGGTGCAGCTCTGACTGCCACTCCCCCGACCCAGAAATGGATTAAGGTGAAGAAAATGGATGGATGGATGGATGGTACATAAGGGGCAGAGACCAATGTTTATGAATGTCTAGTGTCCTGGATCAGAACCACTGGCCTTAGACCCTCCTGCATCGAGTTAGATCTACAACCTAAGTCCTGATTGACAGCCTCAGGACGGGTCTACAACCTCAGTTCTGGGTCTACAGCCTCAGTTCTGGGTCTACAACCTCAGTCCTGGATCTTCTTATTTACTCAGAGAAACACATACTCATTTTCCATCTCCCACTAAACTGCACATTCAAATACAAACAAACATATTATTTTAAAGCGGAGCCTTTGGTTTGAGGTCGTGCATGCAACATGATGTCACCGTTGTGTCATCCTGCGTTGGCATCCTGGAGGCAGGAGGTTTTGTGTGTGTGTGTGTGTGTGTGTGTGTGTGTGTGTGTGTGTGTGTGTGTGTGTGTGTGTGTGTGTGTGTGTGTGTGTGTGTGTGTGTGTGTGTGTGTGTGTGTGTGTGTGTGTGTGTGTGTGTGTGTGTGTGTGTGTGTGTGTGTGTGTGTGTGTGTGTGTGTGTGTTTCTGTGGGAGCCACAGGGCAGGAAGTACCAAACATATGGCTGCTACTCTGTGGGTGGGAATAAACACTTCTTAATTAGAATATGTTTAAAAAATCAACAGAACAAACAATTATGAGAAGAACAGTTTGTATGGATGTCTGCAAAACCAGAGAGAGAAACCAAGAGAGCACTGAGAGACCAGAGAGCGAACCCGGAAAGAGACCAGAGAGAGACCAGAGGGAGATCAAAGGGAGACCAGAGGGAGACAAGAAAGAGACTAGAGCGAGAGACCAGAGAGAGCACAGAGAGTGTCACTGTGTGCTTTCTCAAATTTTACTATGATTTCTCAGCTCAGGACTTTAATCTATTGTTCTGTAAATGTTTTCGGTCTATGGGAAAAGAAATACGATTGCAAAATGTTAATTTCAGGCCATGTCCACACGTAGCCGGGTATTTTTAAAACCGAATATTTCCCCCCCTCCGTTTATATAATAATTTGCATCCACACATGACCGAACATCTGCGTTTTCAGTCCTCTGACATCCTGCGTTGGGGAAAAACACAGAAGTGGGCGGAGCTTTGATGCTGACACTGGTACTTCTTTAGCGGCACTTTTACAGTCACAGAAGAAAGTCAGGGTAAAGACAGATGTTTACAAGGACTGACCCCCGTCGTCAGTCCTGGTTTAGTCCTGGCTTAGCTCCTGTTTTGGTCGTTTTTGAGCGTGACTCCTTGTGATCACTTTGCTGCTCTCTGATCTGCAAACCGCTCGCAGCAGCGAACAGTTTTAAAGGCAGTATAGATCCATGCTTCCTCATTGATCAGAGGTCGCACGTTTTGTTTGTTGTTGTTTTCGGGGCATACTGTGACGTGCGAAAACGCAAAACTCTGGTTATCTCTGTCTACACGCGAATGCATAAAGAGAGTTTTCAAAAATCTCCACTTTGCTCGGAGTTTTTTTAATATATTCGTTTATGATGCATTGTCATGTGGATGACAGGTGCAAACGAAGAAAAATATCTGCGGTTTAGCAGATACCCGGCTACTTTTGGACATGGCCTCAACGCACTACTCGGAAATGAAAGGTCCAATATAAATAAAATGTATTACCACTAATGTGCCTGCTCTCTGACATCATGCTTTGTCTCTCCTTCAGAGCGTGGATCCCGAGAAGGCAACTGGTTTCTGCGACCCCCACGCCTCTTACCAGAGTCACACCAGCTCCTCCTCCACGGCTCCCGAGGGACGACCAGAATCCTCCCAGACCGAGATTAGCACGAGCTGCACCATCGACGAGTTCGACACCGACTCCTCCATCTCCTCTGTGCTGGAGCAGAACTATCACGGAACCCCCACTTCCCTCCCTTACCCCAGACCAGACACGTACAGCATCGTGGGCTCTCTGAACGCTAACGGCAAAGCTCTGAACGGGACCAGTGTGACCAGTGTGGGAGGTACTGGTGCCATGTACGGTGGGAGAATACCGCTGCTGAATATGTACAAGGAGAACACGGGGACGGTGAGGAACAACAGACCAGCAAAACCCCAGCCGCTGCGGATGGAAGAACTCCTCAACGTCAGGCTCAACCACGTCACCTTCGACCTGTCGCAGCCGCCGTACGATTCTCTGCAGACGTACGAGTTCGAGGGCCAGGACTCCAGAGCAGAATCGCTGAGTTCATTGGAGAGCGGAACCGGCGAAAAGGACGCTGCCTCAGAGCGAGAGGAGGCGACGGCAGAGGAAGGAGGAGGAGGCATCGAGGAGCTCAACGACAAGTTTCAGAAGCTGGTGGAGATTATTCGAGAGCGGCAGAAGGAGCGACAGAAGGTGGAAGATGCGAGCGAACAGACTGCGCACAAGGAGCAAGAGACACCAATGTTTCTGGATTTTTAGAAACTTTAACTGGAGGTAAACGTAGTCCCTCGTTATGCAGAAGTGGACTCAGCTCTTCTCTTCTCCGGTTGGATTTCTGTAGCACTCTGTGGACAAAGGACAAACTGGAGCGAAAGGAAGAAACCGAGCGACCATTTCAACGCTTGAGCCGCAGACTGTTCAGACTGGTATTACTTTGATGAAAAAATAGGTTGTGTTCAAAAGCAGTGGGTGTTTACAAGTCGCTGAGAGAGTTTTGATTAAATGGCTCTACGGGCTACTGACCATTCCATTACACGGATTAGTGTCACGGGGTGAAATTAAAAAAGGAACCCAAAATGCAGGACTGATACTGAAGGGTAGTTTGATCAAATAAATCCAACGTAACAACAAAGCACAATAATCCAGAACTGAAAACAAGCCAAGATCAAACGTGTTATAGACAATGGATGGACAACAAGTGGGGAAAAGCACAGGGCTTATACAGTAGGTCCCACTTCGTTTTGTCGCCTTTCACGCGTGAATCACACGAGACTCACGTGTAATTCACGCGTCTTTTATTTATTTTTTCCCCAGTGATGCTGCAATGACCCAAACAACCACCAGGTGGCACTTGTGAGCAGGGTTAGGAAAATTGGCTTTTCATCGGTCTTTTTTCTCTGTCACCGGTCAACTCTCTGTGGCTTTATAGCTCAATGATAAGGCGGTGGACTCTGGTGTGAGAGGACCCGGGTTCGAGTACAGTCTATGACACTTTTGATTTTGTTGACGTTTACATTTTTTCTAAAACATACTTAGTAATTAGGCCAACACATTTAAAATAGTTGCTAGACTGTAGTAAACTGTTGTAAACTTCACAATCTGCACCAACCAAACTGCAGGAAAAAAATTCAACTTTATTCAGTAACGGAGTAATCTGATTCATATACTCCCCCCGCTAACAAAAACTGAGGATTGGCCGGGGCTCGAACCCCGATCGTCCAAGCGAAACAGCTGATATGGTCCTGTCCTCGATAAGTTACAGATTTGCGGGGATGACTTCAACAGAGGTAAGACATGTTACTGTTTTGTATGATATTTAGACCAAATCAAATCTATATTTTCCAAAATGTGATACTTCAGCAAATGTAAAGCCACATTATATTCACACAAATGAACAACATTTCAAAGGGGAACAAAAAAGTGTCTATTATGTATATATAAACGTAAGCCTAACTGTAATAATACAATTCCACAGATAGAAATGCTTCCATGACAAGCCAAAATCATCTTTTCATTGGGCCTTATAAGGTTAGCGTAGCATGAGACTTTTTGTGGTATATTTACTACTCATAAACATAAATCAGTGAAGTCACTGTTATTTTGCAGCCAAGACAAGCTAACATTAGCAACATTATTATTCCCATAGAAAATACAGCATAATTACCACTGTTACTGTTTTGTTTTTATTATTGTTATTACTGACACTAGTCTGCTACTAATACTACACAAGTTGTCTGTAGGTATAAAACTATATCAACTCTTCTGATAAATTCAAAATATTTTTCGATGAAGTTTGTACAAAACACACATTCCAGAACAGTGACATCTAAATCTTTTTGCTTTTCCTTCCAGGACTCCAGTCCAGTTGAATCTGTAGTTTCTGAGAGCAGTGACTTTGAATGGGGGAGAGGCAGACGAGCAGCAAGAAGAGGAAGAGGAGCAGCAAGAGGAGGAAGTGGAGCAGCCAGAGGAGCAGCAAGAGGAGGAAGAGCAGCAGCCAGAGGAGAGGCCAGGCAGGAATGAGAAGAGCAGGACATGTGGGTTATAAAGAAGCCCCTTTATTCGTTCGACAGTAGGGAATTAAAACTAAAATGCAACTCATCACCACTTTAGAAATTAGTCTTTCTTTTATTTCAATGTTTGGGGGAAATTTTTTTATATTTGACATAATATAAATAAATGTGCTGTGTCCATCTTTGATTGCTGTCAGCTTCTGTTCAGGGACCAGATAATAAAGTCCTAGAAAAAGAAAGAAAAATATTTTATATCATAGAGACTTGTTTTCCACTTGATTATCATCACTACCTGTCCTCTGTTGTGTCTGCTCCAGTTCAGCTGCAGGAGGAGGGATGAGGAGGACAGAGGACCCATGGCCCTGGGGTCATCTGCTTACATTTTTTGAGAGTCCCCCAGCAGAGCTGAGGCGCTGGTCTGGGATAGAGCTGTAGTCTTTAGTCTCCTTCACAGTGTAACACTAAGACTTTTTCTGTAGACATCAGTAGAAATAATATATTTCTTTATTGCTTTTATACTGTATCTTGATTAGAGCTGCAACTAACGATTATTTTGTAATCGATTAATCTATCGATTATTTTTACGATTAATCGATTAATCGCTTGGCTGTGAATTGTGTAGAAAAACATTTTTTTTTCATCACAAAAAGCTAAAGTGGCAACACACGAGGACGTATTGATGGCGTAAACTTCAAGTAAATGTTTGTAACAGGCTCTTTGTGCTAATTCTGCTCTGATTGGATGAGACAGACAGATATTCATGAAATTATAAAAACAAAGTCGGTTTTAATCAAAAATACAAAATTTTCATGTCATTTTTGCTCTGTTTGAGTCCGTGTGAACCAGAAAACGATTAATCGATTACTAAAATAGTTGTCGACTATTTCAATAATCGATTAGTCGTCGATTAATCGATTAGTTGTTTCAGCCCTAATCTTGATAATAAAGTATGACGTACGATACTTGGCCTTTGCTGCTCACATGCACTGGGCGATGGTTATGGAGGTTGTAGTCTAATGCAGCGAGGAGTGTACGAACTTCATAGGCGCCAAGTAAATCCAAAACGCTTCCCTGCGTACATCAGGACATGGTTTTGGAAAGATTCGAGCTTCGAAGTTGTCCTACAGAACAAAGATTATTGTAACGTCAAACATACAAATAAATTCGATCTCCGTGTAATAAAATATACTTTGTAGTATTAAAAAGGCAGTTCCTGTACATTCCCACAAGATGTCACCCACATGACTTACCGAAAGGTGAGCAACTTCTCAATATCCTTCAGCCACCTCTGGTTAAGAACCACGTGGAATGGGCTCTTTGTCCTGTTTATCCTCCAGAGGCGCATATGGTGAAGTGCACCTCTCCACACACCCTAAATGTATACAATACGTTGTATATCAAAAGTTATACCATGTCACCACACAAAGAGAAAAATTACATTATCTAGTGACGTTATAATTATCCAATGTTCATACAGACCATAAACTCCTCTCTGGTGCTTGTGTGCTGACAAGCATACCAGAAATGGTTAAAGATGTCCTCGATCCATACAAGTAAAGCCTTTTGACCAGAAACCATTCCAGCCTGATTGAAGACACCACAATTATATTTTAAAAAGTCTTACCAGACCTGTGTTAAATACAATTAAACACTTACGATGTCCATGGTGTCTAGCTCCATCGTTGTGTACGTACAGCACATAGCAGTGACCTTTTTGGAAAAATATATAGATTGTGGGGGAAATAATGACAAACATTTCAATAACAACACACCGATATTAATGAAATGCCACAGAGCTTTGTGCATTACCTGGTAAGTAGATCCTCCTGTCACCTAAAACATAAACACAAAAGGCATGTAAGCATACATATACACGGGCTTAGAAATGAATATGCTTACTTACCAAGGGCAACAACGTTGTCTTTGGACTCTAATCTGTTGATGATAGCAGTCCTTTTCTCCTCCCAAAACTGCTTTATTGTTTTTAGACAGTAGGTTCCCTGGACTGCAGAAGATGTTGAGGAGGCCACATGCAGATATTCATGAATTTGAATAAGAGGGAAATATTGGAGAACAACATAAAATCTCCTCCTTGCATAAACTCCATAATTTGTGGCCGTGCAGGCAAAACTATATGGGGAAGAAAGTGTTAACAAGTCTGTAACTTCACACATGTACCACCTTAGTCTGGTAAACACATGTGCAAACCATGTAAACTCACCCACTCCAATATCAAAGCTGTACCTCGGGCATGTGACTTTACAGAAAAGGGTGGACGGCCGTCACACTCTGTGCCTGTGTGGTCACTGTAGTGGCATTTATTGACAGACAATTGGAGAAAAGTTGCCATCTTCAGCAGGTTTTTGTTGTATGCTATGTATGCCTGCTGGTTTACAAGGTCACTTTCAACAACCACTCCATATGGTTTTGGGAAAATGGGAATGGTGGCTGCTGCCTCCTCTTCAAGATCTGCTTCTTGGACTTCCTCAACACAGTCAGCAATGTCTAATATAGATTATTCCAGCCCAATGCAAGGAAGTTTGTCGACCATATCCTGCGATGCACCGCTATTTTACAACCCAAATGAAATGTATACTATCAGTGAGTGAAAAGTAAAAGATAAGAAAAAAAATACATACCGTAATGAGATTGGTGGCACATAATCTGAATCATACGGGTCTGAAACTCCATCCCCCTCAAACTCTATTCTGGAATTAAAAAAGAACAGCCCAATATGTAAATTATGAACCAACACATACACATAGAATTTTTTTGACAAAAAACAGTATTCGTCAAATGTTAAAATTCATGCATGTTTACCTTTTCTCTAACGATTGTAACCTTGTATCTGCTGTCAGAGGTTCAACTCCTGCAATGTGAAATTCTTCCCTGTAGGACAAAATACTTTTTAGTTGACTTTTCAGATTCGCCTGCAGTCACTGAACTGGGGGGATGGGGCCCCATCAACACCTCTGCTGATGGGCCATGGGTGGTCCCTTTGATAGAGAGTGCCTCTCGTAACTACAACAATAGAGCCATTGTTGCAATGTTCTCAGGGATGGGCTTCATCCTTTTAATAGCAGATGTCCACTCCAGTGTAGCGTCTGCCTCCTGCTCTGCCATGTGAAGGGTAACTATGACATCAGGATCGGGTACACTACAACGAACTCTTTTCCGGTATCGCCGCTGATCTTCGTGAAGACTTCTGCGGAGGTTCCTCAGCCTCATTTCAATAAACCCACAATGGGAAACTGGGTCAAACAAATGCTCCTAGACAATAAAAAAAAAGAACAGTTATACATGTGTATATATTATACACACACACACGTGTGTGTAAATATACTCACAAATCCTTCATTTTTTTCCTGGTAGTTTATCTTTAGCGAGGGAAAGACTTACTATACTTCTAGCCAGAAGTATTTTGTCATCCTTTGAGGGATAGCTAAATAACAGACAAAAGTATGATTAACTGTATGATACATTTTAATATAGATACCATAACTGTAATCTTATCTTAAAACTCTGCATTAACAAAAGGTCTGACATATTCAATGATGTAAATTGCATTATAATAATCATGGCGTAAAAGAGTTTCTTTTTAAGAAACAAATGCAAAAAGTCAACAGTTCAAGGTCAAATGACTTAATTCTGTTAACTTTCATAATGCATGACTTAGTGAAATTGACAAATGTAGAAATTGCTTATTTGGTTTTTGTATAAGAATCAAAGGCATCATGTATCGCGTTATGTTTGTGAACCAATTTATTGTCCATGAAAATTGTTATCGTGATAGGCCTAGTTACAGGTTCATTCCAACCAAGCAGAGCCACACCGGACTCCACCCATTTCCTCAAGACTTTCTTCTTACATGAGAATTGGAGGGGGTCTGGTGTGCCCCTGCTTGGTTGAAATGAAAGCCATCAGTCAGACTTTTGGACTGCAGTGTGTGTACAGGTGTAGATACGAGTATTTTGAAATACTTACAATCCCTTCTGTTCCACGAGATGGCTCACAGATACTTTAACAAGCAGTTTTCGTGACGTGATGGAAAGACTGCCTGATGATTCGAACTCCAAGAGGAGATTTGGGGCTTTTTCCTTCAACAGTTTTGTCAAACTATCATTGCCTGGCTGTGGTTCATTCTGCAAAAAACAATGAAATCCATGAATACAGGTGAATGCTGAAACATTTGAAAATCATGAAAAATTTAATTATGTGAAACTAATACATAAAAAGAAGACAAAACATTTTTTTCTTCTTTTTTAAAGTCAGATGGAGGAGAATCGACAATGGAAAATGGACAAGGAGATCTCGAAAAAGGAATTTACCTTTGCAACATAATTACAGAAAGATATCAGTTAGAATAAAGGCATAAATAATTGGCACTAGTCACTTTACCATAAGTCCATAATATATATTACTTCACATTTTAAGTTGTGAAAAGAATGTACTTTGACACACTATTAAAATTACTCAGGATTCATCATTCACTACAATATAATGTAAAACATGTAAACAAATGACATACCTCTGACAGTCCAACTGTAGATGAAGCAATGGCTCCAATTGAAGTTGAATCCGAGGGCTGGTTCTTAGGAAGGAAAAACAGTAAACAGATAAAAGTTGAAGTTACAATAAGAAATAAAAAATATTACCAATAGTTGAACATTACAAACCTGATATTCCGAAGTGTATGATTTAAATGAAATTCTGTATTTGTCAAGGTTCTGGACAAGTACATTGACATCCGCATCAGTAAATTCCTTAAAATCTTCACTGTATATTTGAACAGAATGAAAGTCGGCTTTGTCTGTTAAAAAGCTTGTGCTTTTATCAATCAGTTCTTTAATTGTGTTGAGATGGTAAACTCTTTTGGCAATCTCTTTGTCATCCAGCACAATAGTCACAAGAGATCTGGGATTCTCCTCCATCTGACAGGGAAAAAAAGAACAAAATAAAAAAAATATGTATATATTCTTACCTGTCAAACTGCACACACCGCCAAATTAAGCATCTTTAAACAAATGCTAAATTATAATGTATGTATTATAGCTATTTAAATTACAAATCATGAAATTCATAAACACGGGTTATCTAAAATATTTTAAAAAGGCTCGTTAAAATTTACAAGACTAGTGGAAAATGTAAGCAATAATCAACTACGCGAGCAAGAATTAATTACCATAAGTATATCTTGTATGCAATAAAACGGCTCAGTTTACTCGTGCTTCCGCAGCAGCCCTCAAACTCAACGCTAGCCTCCTGCTTCCATGACAGGCTGAACACCGCACTCACCTCAAATATCACATATAAAGCCAGCATTGGCCATTTCACATTTACGGTCCTCTTATGAGCATTTCTAAACTGTGTGCCCGCACCATGAATCTATTGGATGCTTTGGGTTAGCACTACCACATCCGAGTGGCTAACCTGGAAAAACAGAGCTACGAAAGCGGGGGTCAACTTCGCGCAATTATTGATAAATTATCTGTCAGATCAGTTATCCCCACATATCTTGATCGATTACATCGTTAAGTGTTAACCACAGCTACTCACTTCGTCTGGTTAGGGTTAACTAACAAGTTAGACGAGAGCGATGTCAAGGCTAGCGTGGCTAGTAGCCCAATGAGCGCCAGATAGCCGACGCATTGCGCCACTTTAATGCCAGTTTCAACCCACAAGGAACAAAGAATAGTCACGCTGGCATCTTGTATGATCCATTTAAACAAGCCCACCAATTAATATCAAATGTAGTAACGTTACGTTTAGCACAGACCGTTAACAAGCTCGCTCCTTAGCCACAATAGAAAGCTAACATAAAAACGAACAAGTGACTCCCACAAACCTCTTTTATCGTGTTAATCACTGCACGGCTCATATAGCAAAGCAGACAACACTGTAATGAGAATTAATACTTATTTATATTATAATAGTTACCTTATTTTGTTGACGCGGGCAGCCTCGCTCCGGTCCGGTTTTCAAAAGACAGATGAGTGTCTGCCGCTGCTCTGAACCTGATTGGCTGTTAGGTCAACACAGTGATGTGTAGCTCTTGTGACGGTCTAAGTCGCTGGAAGAGCTAAAGCGGACTTAGCCTGCCACCTTGTGGCGATAAGATGTACTATTTTTCACGCAGCTGCGTGATTCCCGAGAAGCGTGAATGAAGACGACAAAACGGAATGGGACCTACTCATGGATGTATTATATTAACTGGATAGGGTATTACTAGCTTGTAGCTGAATAACTCATGTGCTCAGGGGATTCTCGCGGTACTGCAGACTGAACCAGACTAAATTCACGTGGGCTACCCAGAAATTTTCCCCATAGAACTCAATGCATATTAAAACAGCTCAACCTCAGCTGACAGAGAACCTACAGCTTTAATAAAGATAGTATTTTGTGGGGATTTTAGTGTCCCTTGTCATCCTGAACTTTTTTTCTTCTTAAATCCTTCGGTTTTGTTTAAATCCACACTTTAGTGGCACAAACTCTGCTCGTCTGGCTCTCGCTCTAACTCCCGCTCTGATGAACTGCTCTGATTGGTCAGAGCGCGGCCGAGCCCCTCTGTGCACGTGCGTGAGACCCGGTGTGAGACCCACACACGCGTGTTTGGCGCAACGCATTATGGGAGATCATCCACTGCGCAGAACCGGGAGGACCAGACGATGCCCAAATACAGGCGAGTTTCCCATAGATCTTTGCGAGTTTCAGGCAACTTCCGCTAATCTTTCAGCCCCCATGCCGTCACAAAGCGCCACTGAGCACAACCATTCATTTGAATAGGGCGCCATCTTGGATCGCCGGGGCTTGGACCTACTGTACACACAGAGAGACACAGGTGAATCACATTAGGGCAAACAAACAACAGGACAGACAGGAAGCAAACTCAAACTAGAAGAGAACAACAGCAAAATAAAAAAAAAACAAGTGAAAAAGGTAAAAAAAAGTCCACATCATGATGAAAAAGGGCTATATAAATCTTCATCTAATTTGTTTCTCGCTCTCAAAGCAGTGTGGTTCAATCACCAGAGTTCACAGACATGTATGTTTGGTCCTCTGTCACATCTTTGAATCAGCTTTTGCAGACAGTCAAAGGAAAAGAGTGGACCACCCTCACTCAGCCAATCAGCTCTCACCCTGAAGCGCCAAGTATGCAAAAGATAACATGGATTCTGGGATTCATGTTCTGTGGCAGTGTGTTAATGGTGGTCTTAAACTTGAGCCTTCAGCCTGCTAGTTCAGGGTCGGAGGGGGGTGACAGTCAGAGCTGCACCTAGTCCACACAGCACCATCCCCTCACCGATCCTCCTGCATCTGCAGTGAGTCCACAGGAGCCTTGATCTTCCAGCGGGGGCTTCGGGCAAAGTGGGGTTAAGTGTCTTGCCCAAGGACACAACGGCAGCAGTCACCAGTGGGAGTTGTGAAGTAGGTCTCGAACCCAAGATCTTCAGGCCCAAACTGTCTCTGGCTCATATTGGCTTCCATGTAAAAGTAAACTCCTCTAGCTTGTAACTGTTTTTGGAATAACAAAATCCATGGTTCAGAGCTCTCTATGATCCTGGTGTTTATATTGGGTCTGTAAATCCACATGTGAGCTTCGAAGATGTCAATTTCGGCTTTAGCTAGCGTCACATTCCTGCTCAAATACCCTGTTCAAGCTAGCACTCATCGTCAGACTCTTCTGCATTAAAGCTGCACTAACTGACTTTGGGATTTTGAAGTCGCGGACTCGCTGGCCTCGCTCTTTCTGCTCCCCTCCCCGCACCCACGAAGCTATCGCCCCCCACACACACACAGTGTTGAGACGGAGTTAGCGTATCCCAATATGGATAATACACAAATATGGATTTTCACGTGGATGGCGTGACCATAGAACGATAGAACCGGGAAGCGCGGAGGAACGAGACTTTCTTTTGGATGGCTGTCTCGCTGTGTAAGCAGTATCCGGTGACGAAGACACATGAAGCTTCAGGTTAGCTCCTCGGCT